GAGCCAGTGGTGCGCACAGTGACTCTCTACAAGGTGCAGTCGGTGCAGGCGCTGCTGGTGGAGGTGCAGCACCGCGTGGACCTCACAAACAAGATGTGGCTCGGCAACAAGGAGCTCGTGGTCCGGTACCGAACCGGAATCAGGTGCGGCGTTGCCTTAGTCGGGAATTGTATGTCACACTCTTTACTTAGCTGCAGTGTATAGAGCCACAGTATGTAGAGCCACAGTGTATAGAGCCACAGTGTATAGAGCCACAGTGTATAGAGGCACAGTGTTTAGAGAGACAGTGTATAGAGGCACAGTATATAGAACCATAGTGTATAGAGCCACAGTGTAAAGGGCCACAGTGCATAGAGCCGCACTGTATAGAGCAAGGACCCACCGGAGCTCAGTGACTCTCTACAGAGTGCAGTCGGCGCAGGTGCTGCTGGTGGCGATGCAGCACGGGTTGGACCTAACCAACAGTGTGGCTCGGAAACACGGAGCTTCTGGTTCGGTACCGAACCGGAATCAGGTAGTACATTGTCTTTGGTTGGCTGTCGAATATGACACCGAAATTCTCCAGACCCTGCACTGTCTTCTCAAGTCATTCTGCTGAAGAAGACGTGTTATTAGAATGCTAAAAGAATCAACTTACCTGAACGTATGTTAAGTTTTTTAGAATTCTAGAAAATACAGCACACTCCAGACCAGACCCTGCACTGTCTTCTTCTCAAGTCATTCTACTGAAGATCGATCCAGTCACCCTGTTACCCCCCCTCTCCTCTTTCTCCACCTCCTCTCTCTTCCTTTTAGGGCTCTTTACTTCCCTCCTCCCCCTCACTCCCTCCCCTCAGAACCCTCCATTCTCCCAATCATCCCCTTAGCCTCCCCCCTAGCTCCCAACTCAGATCGAACACTTGCGCGCTCAATAATTTCTGCCTGCAACTAGCGGTAACGGACGTAGCGGTAACGGACGTAGCGGTAACGGACGTAGTGGTAACGGACGTAGCGGTAACGGACGTAGCGGTATCAGTCCTAGCGGTATTGGACTTCTGTTCTGAAAAAGAACGGAGCACCTTCTACACCATCCCTGCTCGCCCGTTAACCTCCACCCCTCGAATGTGTCCTTTGTGGTTTCTCATTTTCAGGTCTGGCAACGCCTTTTTCGCTGACCCCCCTCCCTCGAATGCGTCCTTTGTGCTTTCCCATTTGCCCATTTCCAGGTCCGGCAACATCTTTTTCACTGACCTGAACGGTTTCCAGACCATCAGAAGGGAGACCCTCTCTCACGCGTTCCTACTCAGGGCAACTTCTACCCCATGCCCGCCCTCGCCTTCCTGCAATCACTTGCCTCACCCCACTTCTCTCCGCTCTCCCTCCCCCATTCGCAGTTCCAGCAACGCCTTTTCCACTGACCTGAACGAGACCACTTCTGAGGCGCCTCAAAAATACCTCCCCCCCTCGAATGTGTTTGCCCATTTTGTGTTTGCCCATTCTGTGTTTGCCCATGTTGTGTTAGCCCATTCTGTGTGTGCCCATTTCCAGGCCCAGCAATGCCTTTTCACTGACCTGAACGGTTTTCAGACCATCAGAAGGGATTCCCTCTCTCGCGCGTTCCTACTCAGGGCAACTTCTACCCCATGCCCGCCTTTTGAGGCGCCTCAAAAGGCGTTCCTACTCAGGGCAACTTCTACCCCATGCCCGTCCTCGCCTTCCTGCAATCACTTGCCTCACCCCACTTCTCTCCGCTCTCCCTCCCCCATTCGCAGTTCCAGCAACGCCTTTTCCACTGACCTGAACGAGACCACTTCTGAGGCGCCTCAAAAATACCTCCCCCCCTCGAAATACATGCCTGCACTGCACTCAACCTTGTGCAATCACTTGCCTCATCCCCTCTTCCCTCCCGCTCTCCCTCCCCCATTTTCAGGTCCGGCAACGTTTTTTTCACTGACTTGAATGGATTCCAGACCATCCGAAGGGAAACCCTCTCGCGCGTTCCCATCCAGGGCAACTTCTACCCCATGCCCGCCCTCGCCTTCCTGCAAGACCCCTCTGGCCTTCGCTTCTCCGTGCACACACGCCAGGCGGTGGGGGCTGCCAGTTTAACGGTGAGCTCTTACTCGCGCTCCTCTCTGCGCAGCACCTTCTACCCCATGCCTGCTCTCGCCTTCCTGCAAGCCCCATCTGGCCTTCGATTCTCCGTGCACAGACGCCAGGCAGTGGGCGCTGCCAGCCTCAAGGTCAGTGGAACCAGCTAGTATAAAGGTGAGTGGTAGGATAGGAACATCAGTAAGTCTTCACTCCCCTTTCTGCAACGGGCACACAGAGTTGCCACTGCCATGCTATGCTGGCTCAATGCTAGCTCAATGCTCAGTTGGAACTTGGTTTCACAGAATGTAAATTTACTGTAGAAAACGATGTCCGATACGGCTTGCAATTGTAGACGTACGACCTAAGATTCAATGCACAGAGACTGCAGTACTGACTTCTGGTCTGTTGGCGTATCATTCTTCTATGCTCAGTGGCTTCGTTCCTCACGTCTATGCCCCTCCTTTCCTCCAGAGTGGCTGGCTCGAGATGGTGTTGGACAGACGCCTAAACCAGGACGATGGCAGGGGCCTCACGTAAGGAGTGGCTAACAACGGTCCCCTGCACTCGCTTCTTATTTCCGCCCTCATCCTCCCCTCCTTCTTTCCCCCAGAGTGGCTGGCTCGAGATGGTGTTGGATAGACGCCTAAACCAGGACGATGGCAGGGGCCTCACGTAAGGAGTGGCTAACAACGGTCCCCTGCACTCGCTTCTTATTTCCGCCCTCATCCTCCCCTCCTTCCTTCCCCCAGAGTGGCTGGCTCGAGATGGTGTTGGATAGACGCCTAAACCAGGACGATGGCAGGGGCCTCACGTAAGGAGTGGCTAACAACGGTCCCCTGCACTCGCTTCTTATTTCCGCCCTCATCCTCCCCTCCTTCTTTCCCCCAGAGTGGCTGGCTCGAGATGGTGTTGGATAGACGCCTAAACCAGGACGATGGCAGGGGCCTCACGTAAGGAGTGGCTAACAACGGTCCCCTGCACTCGCTTCTGATTTCTGCCCTCATCCTCCCCTCCTTCTTTCCCCCAGAGTGGCTGGCTCGAGATGGTGCTGGACAGACGCCTAAACCAGGACGATGGCAGGGGCCTCACCCAGGGAGTAACTGACAACCGGCCGCTGCTCTCCCTCTTCCACCTCCTCCTAGAGGCCAACACCTCCTCCCGCCCTGCCCCCTCCCCCTCCTCCTCCGCGCCTCTCAACCCCTCCCTCCTCTCCCACCGCATCTCCTCCCACCTCAACTACCAGCCCCTTCTTTTCATCGGGCAGCCCGAAAATTCCTCGGCTCTGAGTGAACTGGTGGTGCAGGGAGGCTCGGGCAGAGAAACGAAGGCTGGTAGTCAGGGGGGGAAGGTTCGGGAGGAGGGGAGAGGAGGTGGGAGGTGGGAGAAGCAGCAGGGGCGGAAGGCAGGTCCGGGAAAAGCCTTGGCAGAAGGCTCGGCAGGAGGTTTGGCGGGAGGTTCGGCAGTAGGTTCGGAGGAGGGAAGGGCGACGTTGGGGGGATGGGAGTGGGGCTACGCTCCCTTGTCTGGTCCTCTGCCTTGCGACATGCACATTGTGTCGCTCAAAGTGCACCGCCCTCTGCCTAATGCCTCGGTGAGTGAGCTCAGAATTGCATTGCCCAAAACCTTGGTTGGTGATTAGTAGGTGACTGGTTCTTGGACGTTTGTAACATCTCAGTCCTCAATGCGCCGAAGATCATGGCTTTGTTAGTCCGCAACCCGACACCTGGCACTACACGGATGGCTGCTGCCCACTTGCTTTGCATTGCTTGCTTGCTTTCATTTCTGGCTGGCATGCTTGATTGCTTGCTGCCTCGCAGAAAGAAAGCCATATTCTGGGTTTGACTCGTGATATACCCTCTCCCCTCTTACCTTGTGGAGGTCCCCCTAAGTCCCTGACACACTCCCACGCACTTTCCCCCGAATACCACCATCACCACCCAGGCCTCTTCCGAACCCCCCATTGCCCTCCTGCTTCACCGACGTGGTGTTGACCGCAGCTTTGCTCCTCCTCCCCAGCTGCGCCATTCGTGCCGCCCCACGCCTGCTTCTGGCGCCGTGTCTCTAGAGCAACTGTTTTCCGACAGGTCGGTGGAGGGGGTGCAGGAGTTTCCCTTGAATCTAGTTCGGAAGAACGCCAGCAGTTTGCATGGGCATGAAAGTGGCGCTGGATTGGGAAAGAGGCGAAGTGCCAATGTGAGTGAGTATATTGGGCCTATGGAAATAAAGGCGTTCAAATTCTGGCTAAGGAGCCACCACCGGGATTCGTAAGCTCCTGTGTCATAAAAATGGATGCGTGTCCTATAAGTAGACTTTTGTGACTTCTTTTTCTCAAAGGGCTTCAGATTGGTTTTGGTTGGACAAGGTTGATAAGTGTCATTTGGCATGTTTTTGCATTTTCCTATGAGGAAGTGACATGAATGTGTAGATAGTACGGAGTTTGAAGGTGGTAGTGTACCGCTGATATGGGTCGATTCGCCTCCTATTGGATCCCCATACCTTGGTTCAACTTGCCGCTGCCAATACCCGTGTTCGTCGCCACCAATGAGAGTTCCTGAACCGCATCGAGGTGGCGTTCTGTGTCGTCGTGTCGTGAGATCTACCATGTTCGCACAATTCTCAACAACTCGCTTCCTTGCGATGCGATGCATGCGATAGTACCTGGCGACGACAATGTGACAGGCTCCTAGATCATCCGGCTTCCCCTCTCCACCACGCACGCAACCTCAAGATCTTCCCTCCCCCCCACCCCTTGCGCATATGTTTCTCTCTCAATAACCTACCCAACCGTCCTAAACCGTTGTTTCGACTCTTGGAAACAGAGAGAAACTCATTCAACCGCAATCAAACGTACGCGCAGGACACGCCCAAGGCATGCCCTCACCTAATTCAAACCTAGGGTTTGCCATTCTACACCAAGACAGGCTTTATCTGTCAAGGATCTAGTTGTAGCAGCTTTATTTCAGTGTCTTGGTTCTCTTCTGCCCAGGACTCAGCTCCTATCTGCCTCCGCAATTCTCTTGTTCCATCCTAGCCACGTCTCCACATACTTTCTTCGAGAACCCGCCGTTCCCTATCCTTTATCGTGGTTTCCGTCTCCTCCAGCAGCTTCCTTCAAACCTTTTTCTGCTTCTAGCCTATCCTTATCCGTCCCTGCAACCATGAGCCACTACGACAACAGATACGGGGATTCATCCTCATACAGAGACCGAAAGAGGTAACTTCATGCCAGAACCTCGTATTCGTAATTAACTTCCGTCCCTCCTCGTTTTTTTTTTTTTTTGGTTTTAATCACGATCATCCGCGTTCGTTTTCGTTCATTCAAAACATGCCTCGCGGTGGCGTGTTCATCTCCTGGTAATCGCAGCGACTTCGGCGGGGGATATGGCGGCGGCTCTTCCAGCTACCGCTCCGGCGGAGGCGGAGGCGGGTACGGCGGAGGTGGCGGTTACGGCGGAGGCGGAGGCGGCGGGTTCCGCGGCGGCGGGAACAAGCGCGACCTCGATGCAATCACACTCGCTCCACAATCCTTCGACAACCTCGCGCATTTCGAGAAGAACTTCTACGTCGAGCACCCGGCAGTGACCGCCATGTCGGAGGGCGAGGTGGACGAGTACCGTCGCCGGCGGCAGATCTCCGTGGAGGGCCGCGGGGTCCCGAAGCCGTGCCGCACGTTTGAAGAGGCTTCGTTTCCCGATTACGTGCTTGTGGAGGTCCAGCGCGCGGGGTTCAGCGAGCCCACACCGATCCAGGCGCAGGGGTGGCCCATGGCGCTCAAGGGGCGGGATTTGATCGGGTTGGCGGAGACGGGGTCTGGAAAGACCTTGGCTTACCTTCTTCCTGCTATCGTTCACGTTAATGCTCAGCCTTACCTGGGTACGTTTTTTAGAAGTCTAAAAAAATTGCAGGGTGTTTTTTAGCATTCTCAAAAACACCTTGGCTTACCTCCTTCCTGCTATCGTTCACGTTCATGCTCAGCCTTATCTGGGTACGCCTCTCAAATTCCCTTCAAATTCCCCTTGTCTCTTTTTAGGGTTTCCCGTCCCCCTAGCTCAGCACCTTCCAGGTTTTTCCCCCTTCGCGTCCGTTTCCGTTTGTGAAGTATCAGTCTCATGTAATATCCGTAACTACCTGTCACAACGCGCCGCTTATGCGTCCAGCCTTTTTCTTCGGGGACGGCCCGATTGTGCTGGTGATCGCGCCGCCGCGAGAGCTGGCGGGGCAGATTCAGGAGGAGTGCACCAAGTGCGGAGCGTCGTGAGAGTTGCCCCAACCTCATTCTGCCCTTCTTCGTCTTTTGGCTCGTCTCGTCCAACCCTTATCCTCGCCACTGCAGCACCCGGGGACGGCCCGATCGTGCTGGTGATCGCGCCGACGCGAGAGCTGGCGGTGCAGATCCAGGAGGAGTGCACCAAGTTCGGAGCGTCCTCTAAGATCAAGAGCACCTGCGTCTATGGCGGCGCGCCCAAAGGCCCGCAAATACGCGACTTGAATCAAGGTACGTGCGCCGGGGTTTGTCAGGAAGGTAAGTGCGTTGGGGTTTGCCACGTGTGCGCAGCAGATTTAAGAGGAGTGCCACCAACTTTGGCGCATCGTCTAATATCAAGAGCTTAGTCACCTGCGTCTATGGTGGCGCGCCTAAAGGCGCGCGACTACGGGGCCTGAATCAAGGTGGGTTTCCATTTCCGTCTTCATTCTTCTTGTTTCGCTTCCCTTGCATTTTCTTGCTCCCTTTTTCGCCTCGTTTCTCTTGCGTCTCTTCCGCTTCAATCCGTCGAAATGCGTCCGCGCCCTCTCCTCTCATCCCTCACTGCCAGGCGTGGAGATCGTGATCGCGACGCCCGGGCGATTGATCGACATGCTAGAGTCGCGGATTACCAACCTTCGCCGCGTTACGTACCTCGTGCTGGACGAGGCGGATCGCATGCTCGACATGGGCTTCGAACCCCAGATCAGAAAGATTGTTTCTCAGGTACGCAATGTAACGAAACAGGGTTACCAACCTTCGCCAGGTTGCATGCTTCTTGCTGGACGAGGCTGATCGCATGCTCGACATGGGCTTCGAGCCTCAGATCAGAAAGACTGTCTCGCAGGTACGTGTGTAACATAACCGGCGGGTTACCAACCGTTGCTGGGTTTCGCATGCTTGACAAGGCATTTTAGCCTCAGATCTACGAGATCGTTTTTCTCAGGCAAGCATTCGATTGGACACAAACAGGATCCCCTGCGCCTCCCGCCCCCCACCCTGCTTTTGAGGCGCCTCAAAAGATCGCCTCTCAGGCAAGCGTTCAATTCGACACGAGCCAAATCCCCTGCATCTCCCGTCCCCCACCCTTCCCTCCCCGCGCTTCCTTTCCGCGCCGCTGCGCCCCGATCCCTCGCCCCTTATGCTATTCCGTTCCCCCTACTTCTGTCTCCCCTCGCCTCTCCCTCCACTTCCCGCGCTGTTTGCCATCCCTTTCAGATTCGCCCCGATCGCCAGACGCTCTACTGGAGTGCCACGTGGCCCAGAGAGGTGGAAACGCTTGCCAGACAATTCCTTGTTGACGCGTACAAGGTGAGATGATCCGTACCAGGTGAGATGATCCGTACCAGGTGAGATGATCCGTACTAGGTGAGATGATCCATATAAGGTGAGATGATCCGTACAAGGTGGGATGATCCGTACAAGGTGGGATGATCCGTACAAGGTGAGATGATCCGTACAAGGTGAGATGATCCGTACAAGGTGAGATGATCCGTACAAGGTGAGATGATCCGTACACGGTGAGATGATCCGTACAAGGTGAGGTGATCCGTACGAGCACTTTGAGCTGTTCCAGGTGCGAGTTGATCTGCAATTGAGCGTAAGGTACATTGGTAGACGGTCAGTCGCACGATTTAAGGCATTTGAGTCATTCAAAAGTGGGTTTCGTGGCTGCACGCTATTTTGTTTTCTTTTCACTAACCCCTCTGGAAAAGAAAAGAAAAAGAACGTTCTTTTGCCGGCTTCGTTTCTCTGCGTCTGTGTGGCAGGTTGTGATTGGCTCTACGGACCTGAAGGCGAACCACTCCATTACGCAGGTGGTGGAGATTATGAGCGATCACGAGAAGTACCCTCGGTGCGTAATGTAACGGGTGTTACAAAATATACAGTTACCCACTGGGTGGTGGTGAGCCAGAGCTAAGTTCGACGGCACTCCCTTTTTCCCTTGCATTTTTTTTTTCTTTCAAAGGACTTCAACTCTCACTCGTATCCTCATCTTCTTTTCGATTCCACTTGTAATCAAACTCCTGGAGCAGGTGATGCACAGCGCCGTTACTCATTTCCTTTCCTTTGTCTCCCTCTCAACCTCCACAGATTACTCAAGCTCCTAGAGCAAGTGATGGACGGCAGCAAGATCCTGGTCTTTATGGACACCAAGCGCACGTGCGACCAGGTGACGCGGCAGCTGCGCATGGACGGGTGGCCCGCGCTGTCGATCCACGGCGACAAGAGCCAGGCGGAGCGCGACTGGGTGCTGTCGGAGTTCAAAACGGGCAAGAACCCCATCATGATCGCCACCGACGTCGCTGCCCGCGGGCTAGGTATCACACAAGGGGGGCTTTAGGGTTTTCGATTTTGAGGGTTCAGGGCTATGGTGTCTGCATGCATGGGTTAACGGACAAGAACCCCATCATGATCGCCACCGACGTCTCTGCCCGGGGGTTAGGTATCGTCGGAGGGAGGGGGCGGGGTACAGGGGTTAGGTGTAGGCCATACATGGGTTCGGTTAGGGATGGGGTTTAAGGGTTAAGGTGTAGGCCATACATGGGTTCACGAGCACCAAGAACCCCATCATGATCGCCACCGACGTCGCTGCCCGGGGGCTAGGTATCATCACTGACAGGGGTTCGGGTGTAAGGGTTTAAGGCATAGGCCATACACGGGTTCACGAGCGCTCAGAACCTCATCATGATCACCACTGACGTCGCCGCCAGGGGGGCCAGGTATCCTTCCTTCCGGGGGTGAGGTTTAGGGATTAGGGTTGTGGTGCGGTGCGAGACATTGATGGAAGAGAGTGGCAAGTCCCACTATGACTTGAGTAGTTCGCCTGGTTACATGAGGCACGTGAACGGTGAGACTATGGCTAGAGGCTGCAGCTGATGTCAAAGGGTTTAGGTATCGCGTGTGTGTACACTGTGTTTTGAAGCTCCCCTTCTTATCCCTTGTCTTGTGTTTCTTTCCGTGCGGTGTGTGCAGCCCTGGGCCTGGTCGATGCCCGCTGCCTGTCCACCGCCTCTCGTCTCCCGCCTCTTCACAATGCTCCAGCCACTTCCGCCATTTCCGCCATTTGAGCCACGTCAGCTGCACTCAGCAGCAGCTCTGCCTGCTGGCCATGTGCCAGCTAGCTGCCTTTTGATGGCTCTGGTGCTGCTGGTGCATGATGATGGCACATGGCACATGGTGCATGGCAGCATGGGTGGCACACCCTATGGCCGAGAGAGTACAACTGTGCTGTCTCACTCTCCCAGCTCCATGGTGCGCTGCAGTGCTCTGCGGTGCAGTGCGGTGCTCTGCGGTGCATTGAGGTGCACTGTGGCATCGTGTGTGCCCCAGTGCCCTGCGATGCAGTGCCCTGCAGTGTGCTGTGGTGTGCCATGCCGTGCCATGCGGTGCCATGTGGTGCCATGCGGTGCCATGCGGTGCCATGTGGTGCCATGCGGTGCCATGTGGTGCCATGTGGCGCTATGTGGTGCCATGTGGTGCCATGTGGTGCCATGTGGTGCCATGTGGTGGCGTGTGCTGCCATGAAGTGCCATGTGCTGCCATGCAGGGCCATGTGCTGCCATGCAGGGCCATGTGCTGCCATGCAGGGCCATGTGCTGCCATGCAGTGCCATGTGCTGTCAGTGCTTAAAGCTGGGCGTGGTTGGAAGGAAGTGTGCTAGTGGTGTTGTTGTGGAGGCTGGGAGGGAGGGAGGCAAGACAGCAGCGGCATCACCTTGGGCTAAGGGCTTGCCGCATGACACAAGCGCATGAGGCTCGCGCGTCACGCAAGTTTTAAGGTTATTAGATGTGCATGTTGAGATTTTCAAACCATGGTCGTGCGTGCTCGTTGTCATGTTTGCATGTCCGCTGTTTCATCTTCGTTGCCAGCATTACATGCTCATGACCGTTGTCCCATTCACATGACCGTTGTCCTTTTCACATGACCGTTGTCCCATTCGCATGACCGTTGTCCCATTCACATGACCGTTGTCCCATTCACATGTCCGTTGTCCCATTCACGTAACCATCGTCCCATTCACGTAACCATCGTCCCATTCACGTGACCATTGTCCCATTCACGTGACCATTGTCCCATTCACATGACCATTGTCCCATTCACATGACCAGTGTCCCATTCGCACAACTGTTGTCCCATTGGCATTACCGTCGTCCCATTTGCAAATTGCATGACCATTTTACTTTCGCATAACCACTGTCCATTCACATAACTTGATGTCCAATTCGCATGGCAATTGTCCCATTCACACGACCAATGCCACATGCTCATGACCAATGACCCATGCACAATGCACATGACCCATGCCCCATTCTCTTGGCCAAATGCGTCATAAATTACGACTTCCCCAGCACCTGTGAGGACTAAGTGCATCGCATCGGGCGCACAGGCGGGCGGGGCGGGTGCCAAGGGCTTTTCCTTCTCCTTTCTGCCTTACTCCCTCCCTTGAGATGCGGAGGACAGCAAGAGTGCCAAGAATCACAAATTCTGCTGCCAAGATTGCCTTCCTCCTTTTCCAGCACGACATCATCTCACTTCTCACTTCACACTACTCTTGAGTTGTTTTGAGCGCACTTCTCTCAATCCTACTCCCCCTCCTCCTTCCCACTCCCCGCTACTCTTGAGTTGTTTTGAGCGCACTTCTCTCAATCCTACTCCCCCTCCTCCTTCCCACTCCCCGCTACTCTTGAGTTGTTTTGAGCGCACTTCTCTCAATCCTACTCCCCCTCCTCCTTCCCACTTCCCACTACTCTTGAGTTGTTTTGAGCGCACTTCTCTCAATCCTACTCCCCCTCCTCCTTCCCACTCCCCGCTACTCTTGAGTTGTTTTGAGCGCACTTCTCTCAATCCTACTCCCCCTCCTCCTTCCCACTCCCCGCTACTCTTGAGTTGTTTTGAGCGCACTTCTCTCAATCCTACTCCCCCTCCTTCTTCCCACTCCCCGCTACCCTTTGCAGATGTGAAGGACATTGAATGCGTCATTAACGACGACTTCCCCAGCATGTGTGAGGACTACGTGCACCGCATCTCATTGCACTTCCCCTCTCCTGCTCTCTGCACTCTGCCCCTGTTCTCCTGCCCCACTCCCTCCAGACGTGAAGGACATTAAATGCGTCATCAACTACGACTTCCCCAGCACCTATGATGACTACATGCATTGGATCTCATTGCGATTTCCCCTCCCTCTCTGCGCTCTTTCCCTCTCCTCCCTTTCTTCCCTCCAGACGTGGAGGACATAAAGTGCGTCATTAATTACGACTTGACTTTAGAGTCGACTCAAAAGAGGTGACTTTTGAGTCGACCCAAAAGTCACCTCATTAATTACGACTTCCCCAGCAAGCACCTGTGAGGGCTACGTGCACCACATCGGGCGCACGGGGCGGGCGGACACTAATGTGCCTCTTTTTCCCTCCTCCCTAATTCCTTCCAGATGTAAAGGATATAAAGTGCGTAATTAACTACGACTTCCCCAGCACCTGTGAGGACTACGTGCACCGCATCGGGCGCACGGGGCGGGCGGGCGCCAAGGGCTTCTCCTTCTCCTTCTTCACCGCTGCCAACGCCAGGCTGGCGAAAGACCTCATCAAGATCCTCACTGAGGCCAATCAAGTCGTGCCACCTGCCCTTGCTGCGCTGGGGATGAGCGCTAGGGGCATGGGCGGCGGTGGAGGTGCGTGCGTGTGGCTGTGCAATGTAGATTGTCTTGTATCCCTTTGAGATGGCGTATGTTCTTCTGCCCCTTCCTGCTTCCACCTGCCCTTGCTGCCCCGGTGATGAGCGCTAGAGGCATGGGTGGCGGTGGAGGTGCGTTTTTATACTCTGTCTTGCAGTGCTATGTCATTGGCATGGCACCCCTTGAGATGTGTCAAACCCACCTGCTCTTGCTGCGCCGGGGATGAGTGCGAGACGCATGAGCGGCGGTGGTAGTGGGTGTCTTTTGGCCCATTCCTTCCCTTCAATTTCTTAAACCACCCTAAACCCTGAACCTAAAACCCTCAAATTTCTTTTCCAGCCATCTGTTGTCTCCATGGTGCAGGGTTCTGGGACAGGGGCCATGCCAGGGACAGGAGCCGCTGCGGGCCGAGGGGAGCCATGCCATGTTTTATACGTCCATTCAAATGCTTACCGGATTCTAGTTTTGAGGCGCCTCAAAACTAATTTTTTCTTGCCACCCATCTGTCGCCCCCGTGGTGCAGGGTTGCTGCGGGCCGAGGGGAGCCATGCCATGTGCACTGATTGATGCAAATGCTTACCTCGATTTTTTTTCCCTGCCCATGTCTTGTGTTGTGTGCCATGGTGCAGGGTTCAGGGACAGGGGCCATGGCGGGCCGAGGGGAGCCATGCAGTCAGGCTCCAACGTCATTCCCCTGGGAACAATGCGCTCCTGGGGACCGCGGTAGTGCACTAGTAGTTGCAGTGGTGGTGAGCGTACAGGTACAGGGCTGCTGGAGGGGTGACAGGAGCCATGCAGTCAGGCTCTAACGTCATTTCCCAGGGAACAATACGCTCCTGGGGAGCACGGCAGCGTGGTTTTAGTGGTGGTGGTGGCACATGTCTAACTGCTGATTATGTACTGGTATGGTGGTTTTGTTTACTGAGTGAGATGCGTTGTGGTGTGATGGATAGATGAGGTTGTGGGATTATTATTGGACGCTTTGTCTGTACACTTATATTACATTTTTTCACCAACATGCCGAATTATGTAACAGGAGGGAGAAAAGCAACATCCAGTAGACACACAAACAAACTGCAGTCTAGAATCTTTTGTAAGACACCTTGGCGATCACGGTAGGTACAGTACAGTGCGTCGGGTTGGTTTTGAGAACTCCACTCATGTGTACAGTGTGTACAGCGATGCCACCCGTGGCCAACTCACTTAGCACCAGTCAGGGCCATAGCTCCACTGGTCACCACCAGCATCTGTGTCCCTCCACCCATCCATATACAGCAGCATCCCATCCCCATACTCCCCTGGGGCTGCGCCTGCTGCTTCTGCTGCTGCAGCTGCTCCTTCCGCTGCTGGTGCTTGTGCTTGTGCTTCTGCTGCTGGTGCTTGTGCTTCTGCTGCTGGTGTTTGTGCTTCTGCTGCTCGTGCTGGTCCTGCTGCTGCTGCTGCTGCTGCTCCTGCTGCCGCTGCTGCGGCCACTTCACCCAGCAGCGCAGGTGTAGAAGCACTCATCCATGGAGTTTTCTTTTGAGCAGACTCAAACATCACAACTTCAGCAGCTTCACCCAGCAGGGCTGGTGTAGAAGCACTCATGCCTTGAGTAGCCGACCAGCTGCTCTGGACGGTCAATTGATTGCTAACAATCAAAGCAGCAGCTTGATTGTTTACTATGGTGGGCATGGAGCCTACATTGGCTGGCACAGGTGGTGGCCTGGGGATGGGCACAGCAGCAGGGGAGAAGGGCAGCAGCCAATCTGGATGTGAAGGGGGCAGAAACAGCAGCCACTCGGGAGGGTGAAGCGGCCCCTGCCACTCTGCTGGTGGAACTCTGTGGCTCGCCAGCGTTGCACTTGTAATGATGCTACCAGCGGCACTGTCAGATGTGCCACTGCTGCTACTGGTACCAGTGGTCTTGTGCATCCATATGCCACTGCTGCTGCTGGCTACACTAGTCATGTTCCCGCTCCTGCTGCCACTGCTGCTGCTGCTGCCCCCAACATTGCAGCGGCTGCCAATAATAACCTCGTCACACGTCACACTGGCCAGTTCGGAAGCGCCGAAGCTGAGCCTCTCCGGTTTGCCAAACCTGAGGCTCGGATTGCCTAGTGGCAGCTCTGCTGAGAATGGGGCGCATGAAGGCTCGGGTTGAGCCTGACACAGTGAGATTGCATGACTAGCAGGAGCAGTTTTCGCCTCCATATCCTTCGGAGCCAAAAACTTTGACCCTGGAAGGAAGCCTGGCGCTGTAAAAGCAGGGTTAAGACTGGCAGCTGGTGCAGCTGGTGCTGATGCGCCCGGGGCAAAGACTGGCAGATTCGGTCCGGCTAGGGTGACGCCTTGATGCCTCGCGTGTGACAGCAGCCTGGTTTCTTGCAGCAGCATCACCTCCTGCACTACCTTCAGCTCCTGCTCCCGCAGCATCTCCAGCAGGCTTGAGGCTTCCCGTGTCCCAATCCCTTCCTGCTGCCTCATGTCTTGAAGCCTGGCGGATTGTGGGTCAGCCAGCAGCAGCCCTGCCTGCCCTTGAGTCAACTCAAAAGCAGCCGGCAGCGACCCTGCCTGCCCTTGAGTCGACTCAAAAGCAGCCGGCAGCGGCTCTGCCTGTCCTTGAGTCGACTCAATAGCAGCCGGCGGCGGCCATGTCTGCCCTTGAGTCGACTCAATAGCAGCCGGCGGCGGCCCTGTCTGCCCTTGCACGCTACTTGGCGCCTGTGCCTTCCCTGCCTGCCTCTCCGAAAGTCGTTCAATAGTCTGGCCAATCAACATCGCCCCTTGATGGCCTTGCAGCATCGGCAATCCCTGCGGCGGACGTGGTGCCGATGAAAGCTGATGTTGCAGCTGTAGCGCCTGTGCCAGCAGCTGTTGTGGCTGTAGCGCCCGTGGCAGCAGCTGTGGCGGCTGTAGCGCCTGTTGCGTGTGTGCCAGCAGCTGTTGCGGCTGTAGCGCCTGTGCCAGCAGCTGTTGCGGCAGTAGCGCCAGTGGCAGCAGGTGATGCGGCTGTAGCGTCTGAGCCAGCAGCTGTGGCGGCTGTGGCACCTGTGCCAGCAACTGTGGCTGCTGTAGCGGCGGTGAGAACAGCTGTGGCTCCTGCAGTGCCTGTGAGAGCACCTGCGGCTGTAGCATTGCTTGTGAGAGCACCTGCGGCTGTAGCATTGCCTGTGAGAGCACCTGCGGCTGTAGCATCGACTGTAGCAGCCGCTGCCGCTGGTTCATTGCCTGCATACAGCGCTGCGGCTGTGGTATGGTGACATGAGAGTGTGGTGGTGATGATGATAGCAGCGGGCCCACAGGAGCAGGGATAGGATGGGGCCTGGAAAAGACGTTTTGAGACGTCTCAAAACGAGAGGGTGGTGGTGATGATGGTGATGATGATACCAGGGGGCTCACAGGAGCAGGGATATGAGGAGCGGTGGTAGGGGGTATGGAAAAGACGATGGGGCGAGCGGCTACCAGAGAAGCAGGCTGTACTCCAGGCAAGGGCGACGCCACTTGTGGTGGTATGGTTGATGGCATGGTTGCTGGTATGGTTGATGGCATTCTTGGTGGTGTGCATAATGGTATGGAAGATGATGGTATGGTTGGCATTGCTGCTGGTATGGTTGCTGGTATGGATGGTGGCATTCTTGGTGGTATGGATGATGATGGTATGCATGGTAGTATGGATGATGGCATGGATGATGGCATGGATGATGGCATGGATGATGGCATGGATGATGGCATGGATGATGGCATGGATGATGGCATGGATGATGGCATGGATGATGGCAGGACTATGGCTGATGGGCCCATGGTCCGTGCCAGGTATGACGGCCATGGGAACGGCAGCAGTGTGCTCTGGAGCAAGCATGATGCGGGAGTGGCAGCATCTGTTGAGGGTCGCGCACCAGCAGCAGCAGCAGCAGCAGCAGCAGCAGCAGCAGCAGCGGCAACAGCAGCAGCAGCAGCAGCAGGGACAGGGACAAGGGCAGGAGCAGGGGGGGCGTCAACTGCCAGAGCGCGGATGTGAGGCGTCAACAGCACTCCCTCTTCACACAAGCCGTCATCATCGTCATCAAGATCATCATCATGCTCGTCATCATGCTCGTCATCATGCTCCATTGTCGTATCTGTTGCACCTTCGCCACTGCTGGTAGTAACCTCAGTTGCCTCGCAGCTTTTGCTCGTCTTGCAGTCACTGCTAACGTCAACGTCAACGTCAACGTCTAAGTCAACGTCAACGTGAGCGTCAGCACCAACCACGACCTCGAGACTGACGGCATGCACGCCATGGCTCCCAGCAGCAGTGCTGGCGACGCGATTGTCCCCTGGATTTGTCGCCTCTGCGAAGTTCAGCTTCGCACCGGACCCATACAGTCGCCGGGCTGCCACGTCATACGCCATAGCCGCTTCCGCCGCGCGCGGGAACGACCCCAGCCATAGGCGACGCTTGCTCCGCGGCTCTCGGATTTCCGCCACCCACTTCCCCCAGCTGCGCTGCCGCACCCCGCGGAACGCGAACAGCGCGTTCTGCGGCCCGCCCTTGAAGCCCTTCCCCGCGCGTCGCTCGTTGCCCTTCTTCGGCTCTTTTCCCCCCGGGCTCCTAGGCTTCAGGGGGAAGATAGGCGCAAGTCCCGCCGGCTGCGGAGGCCCCGGGCCCCGGTCATTGGATGAAGAAGGTCGAGGGCTCATATCGTACACCGGAAGAAACAGACGGGCAGACCGGCACGGCACGGAGATTTGAGCGATTGTAAGAGTTTTTTTTGTTGGCAATCTTGAGCTCACACGACCGAAAAAAATGGTCCACGTGGCTTTGCGCAAAGTGTCACCTTTCCCGCGATGCAAGGTCCAGCTCTAGTAGAGAATAACGAGTCCTGTCTTAGACGGATTACTCAGTTCCCGCCGCGGCTGCATGAAAAGACTCGGCGACAACCTATCGCTCCGAAATTCGCTGGCTCGACCCAGGGTTAGCACTCCTGACGCCGACGGCAGTCCGCTTACCTTCCGGATTCCGCCGATACCCCATCTCCGGCTTACCGTCTGATTCACACTAAGGCGAGGGGTGCCTTGCGCGACGAGAGCACCCGCAACGGATTGACACAGCATCATGGCTAGGGTCGTTCGTTCTGCGCGCAAACACTGTTTGGCAAGCGCGAGGGGGGAAGCCAGCTAGGCCGGAACTCGCCCCCCTCCCGTCGGATGCGAGGTGCTCTGGGGAACGGGGGAAGAGGAGAGGGTGGTGCGCGGGCACTAGTAATGACGCGCGGAGCCAAGGCCAGGGCCGGGGTGGAGCGGAGCGCAGCGCGGAGGGGAGGAGAAGGAGCGGAGGGGATAGAGAACGGGAGAGCATTCAAGTGAAGATAATGAATCATGGGGTGCGGTCCGAAGTCATTATGCCTCTTGATGCCACTGTCTCGACCGGTCGAATGGGACAGGGAACGATCACGTGACGCAATCTACTGTCCCATGCCGTACTGTTTCCTAATAGCCTTTCCGCTCCGATATCCTCCATTGCAGGAGGAAGAAAACGGTGAGAATGAGAAGGGAGCGGAGGAGCTTCTCCCCTCCTCATGTCCCCCTCCCCCCCTCCCCCCCCCCCCCCCCCATCGTCTCTTTCCCCCATCGCCAGTCACCTCCTCCTCCCCACACCACCCCCCTCATAACGGATAGCGAGGCTCGCCCCATCGCCCCCCGCTGCTCCCTGCAATCAACGCACACAGCTTCCGCCAGCTTTAGTTCCAAGCTCGGCTCAGATCGGCTCACTCCGCCACTCGCTGGTTGGAGTGTGCAATCCAGGGAGCATACGAATCTCCCGCCCAGAATGAGCCAGGTTCGCTAGGCGGATCCTCTGCCATCGCCTGGCCCAGTCGAGCTTTCGATGCACAGAAACTCGCGCTTGGCCTAGTGGCGAACTCGAGCGGAGATTTCTGGCCTCCAGTCGCTGGGAGAGGAATCTGAACACGACAGCAACGCGGATATGGGAGATTTTCGAGTCGAGTCGTGTGGCTGCTCGAAAACACTGAAAGGAGTTCACGTGGGTATGCACCTGGGTCTAGGGGATTCTTACAGATAAGGACAGGTTCTCACCGTCAGTACTGATGCCCTGCCGAGCCTACGCCACGAAACGCGAAGGGGGTGGGGAATCTAGATCTGCAAGGTTCGTGAGGAAGAGAAACAAACGAATCTAAATGGGAATGCAATTCTACAAAAGAAAGAAATATGAAATGGAAGGGATTTGTGGAAGGTAGGAGGGGATGCCAGCTCGAGGAAAGGCGGATTGTGTAGCCTGAGCTGTACACGGGATTTCGGGGCAGAAACTTCTCGACTGCGGTAGATTTGCTGACATCGTTGCCACGTCAGGCACCACTTCGCCTTGGAAATCCATGGCAGGAATCACCGCGCTGACTGGGAGGACACAACCAGTGCCACGAAGACCGATATTTTTTTTTAGAGGACAATTCCCTATAGAAGCAAACTCTTCCTTGTCTTCTAGAAGTCGCTTATCTAAAGCTCTGTTTAGCTATTTGTCTACCATGCATTATTTAAGGCATCCAAGGCTATAATAAGCGTAGGCAGGCTTGGATAAAAGCTGAGCTCGGCTCGGTCATAATACTATTCACTCATACAAATTCCACAACTGCACACTTCTGACATACTACCGTAACGTATTATCCCAAATGCTTGCTCCTCCACCAGAATTTGAACGCCTTTATTTCCATAGATTCTACTATGTGCTCGCTCTTGCTCGTCCTTTCCCCTGAATCCGTGTCACTTTCCCCGATTCCCAACCTGGCACCACTTTCATGCCCTTGCAAACTGCTGGCATTCTTCCGAACTAGATTTAAGGGAAACTCCTCCACCCCCTCCACCGACCTGTCGGAAAACAGTAGCTCTAGAGACACCGCGCCAGAAGCACGCGTGGGGCGGCACGAATGAACCAGCTGGCGAGGAGGAGCGAAGCTATGGTCAACGCCATGCCGATGCAGCAGAAGAGCAATGGGAGGCTCCGCAGAGGCCTGAATTGTGGAGGCATTAGGGGGGGAATTGGATGGGAAAATGACTGACAACCAAGAGCATGAAACATGCAAGAAAATTCAGGACGAAGGGGGGGAGAGGGTATACCATGAGTCAAGCTCAGAGCATGAAATCCTCACCGAGTCAGAAAGCAATCAAGCATGCTATCCAGAAACGCAAACAGTCAAGCAAGCAAAGCAAGGGGACAACGGCCACTCCTGGCTTGGAGCTCAATGCCTTGGGCTTTTGAGAATTCTAAAAAAAAAACCCTGCGAAATCACTCCTGGCCTGGAGGTCAAGGCGTTGGGCTCCGCACCAACAAGGTCCGAATCCTCTTCGACGCATGGAGGATCGCTGCGTTACCAAGGCATTGTTTTTTGAGGCGCCTCAAAAAAGGATCGCCGTGTTACCAAGGCATTGGGCAGTGGGCGGTGCACTTTGAGGGACACAATGCGCATGTCACACGGCAGAGGTTGGGACACGGGACACAATGCGCACGTCACACGGCAGAGGTTGGGACACGGGACACAATGCGCATGTCACACGGCAGAGGTTGGGACACGGGACACAATGCGCACGTCACACGGCAGAGGCTGGGACACGGGACACAATGCGCACGTCACACGGCAGAGGCTGGGACACGGGCGCATGCCTATTCGCTCCCATCCATCCAAACCCTCGACTTTTAGAAGCATACTCTTACCGAGGCGTTGGGCATCGGACGGTGCACTTTGAGGGACACGATGTGCATGTCGCAAGGCAGAGGACCAGACAGAGGAGCATAGCCCCACTTCCATCCCCCCAACTTCGCCCCTCCCTCCTCCGAGCCTACTGCCGGACCTCCTGCCGAGACTTCCGCCAAGCCTGTTCCCGGACCTGAGTTCCGCCCCTGCTGCTTCTCCCACCTCCCAGCTCCCCAATCTCCCTCCCCACCCTTCCCCCCCTGACTACCAGCCCTGGTTTCCCTGCCCGAGCCTCCCTGCACCACCAGTTCGCTCAGACCCGAGGAATTTTCGGGCTGCCCGACGAAAAGAATGGGCGGGTAGTTGAGGTGGGAGGAAATGCGGTGGGAGAGGAGGGAGGGGTTGAGAGGCGCAGAGGAGGAGCGGGAGGGGGCAGGGCGGGAGGAGGTGTTGGCCTCTAGGAGGAGGTGGAAGAGGGAGTGCAGCGGCCGGTTGTCAGTCACTCCCTGGGCGAGACCCCTCTGGTCGTCTTGATTCAAGCGCCTGTCTAACACCATCTCGAGCCAGCCACTCTGGAGCAGGGAGGGGATGGAAGAGGACGGGGAAGTGGGGAAGGGGGGCAGTGGACGAGCTTTGAGGCGCCTCAAAGGGGATGGAAGAGGATGGGGAAGTGGGGAAGGGGGGCAGTGGACGAGGGAATTCCTCTGACCCTTCCACTGAAGGAATTCCACTGAAGGAATTCCACTGAAGGAAGGCGAATGAAGAACACCCCGCCCCCCTCCCCCCTCTCCCCCCCCCCCAACCCTTTCCTCCTGATCCCTCACCTATGTACTAGCCTAATTCCACGTGACTGAAAAGTCGACTCAAAAGTCACCTGGTGTGCACGGCCTCCCCCCCCCCCCCCCCCCCCCCCTATCCATCTGATCACTCACCTTTGTACTAGCCTAATTCCACGCACATTCAAGCTGGCAGCCCCCACTGCCTGCCTGGTGTGCACTGAGAAGCGCAGCCCGGAGGGGTCTTCCAGGAAGGCGAGGGCGGGCATGGGGCAGAAGCTGTGGTGCAGAGAAGGGGACTTGGAGAGCACGCACCTTCAAGCTGGCAGCGCCCACTGCTTGTCTGGTGTGTGCGGCGCGGAGAAGCGAAGGCCAGAGGGGTCTTCCAGGAAGGCGAGGGCAGGCATGGGGTTGAAGCTGTGGTGCAGAGAAGGGGAGCCGGAGAGAACTGACCTTGAGGCTAGCTCAGCCAGTGAGCTTCAAGCTGGCAGCGCCCACTGCCAAAACAGTACCCACCTTGAGACTAGCAGCGCCCACTGCCTGTCTGGTGTGCACGGAGAAGCGAAGGCCAGAGGGATCTTGCAGGAAGGCGAGGGCGGGCATGGGGTAGAAGTTGCCCTGAATGGGGATGCGAGACAGGGTCTCCCTTTTGACCATCTGGAAGCCGTTCAGATCGGTGAAGAAAACGTTGCCTGACCTGGAAATGTGGGGAGCAGATGAGAAAGTGTGAGGCACATAGGAGGGGAGGGATGTCAACGCGGGAGCTAGAAGTTTGCCCTGAGTAGTCTAATTTTGAAGCCGGAGGAATGTCAACGCCGGAGCTAGACTCCTCACGCATGAGAAAGAGTGAGGCACATAGGAGGGGAGGGATGTCAACACGGGAGCTAGAAGTTTGCCCTGAGTAGTCTATTTTTTAAGCCGGAGGAATGTCAACGCCGGAGCTAGACTCCTCACGCATGAGAAAGAGTGAGGCACATAGGAGGGGAGGGATGTCAACACGGGAGCTAGAAGTTTGCCCTGAGTAGTCTATTTTTTAGGCGCCTCAAGAATAGGCTCCTCACGCATGAGAAAGAGTGAGGCACATAGGAGGGGAGGAATGTCAACGCCGGAGCTAGAAGTCCTTGATTTTGCAGGGTGCTTTTGAGAATTCTCAAAAACGCCCTGACTAGGAGCGCGAGACAGGATCTCCCTTTTACCCGTCTGAGTGCCGTTGATGTCAGTGAAAAAAACGTTGCAAGACTTGGGGAAATGGGAGACACAATGGAGGGAGGGGAGGGATGTCAATGCGAGAGCAGGCTGTGAGAAGAGAAGCTGATGATGTTATTGAAGAACTGAGGGTATACATAGGTGTGAGGGTAAGAAGGGGGGGGTTGGATGGGACCTTGGCCAAGATTATTGGTCCCCACCAATAATTGAGTTGGGAATTATTGGGGGGTCCAATAATCCCAACCAAGATTATTGGAGGGTCCAATAATCTTGGTAGGATTATTGGGGACTCCAATAATTGGGAGGTCAAGCCCATTGGGGGGGCCAATAATGGCCAAGGTTGGAACCCAAACAAGGTGGGAAGCCAACCCCCAACCTAGGGTTGTTGCTTACAATGACCTAAGCCTTGTATGTAAACGATGTAGGCTAATACAGAATAGGGGAATATTCTAACACAGGCATGGGGTAAAAGGTGTCCTGGAGGGGAATGCCGCACGCGAGAGAGCTTTTCCTGTCGGACGGTGTGGAAGCTGTTTAGTTTGGTGAAGCAAGCATTGCTCGAACTGAGAAAGCGTGGACAAACGAGGGAGGGTCGGTGGAGAAGACAGAGAAGGCACCGTCCTACCTGACTCCGGTTCGGTACCGGACCAAGAGCTCCTTGTTCCCGAGCCACATGCGGTTGGTAAGGTCCACCGCTGTACACCAGCAAAGCCTGCGCCGAGTGAACCTTATACAGCGCCACCGTGCGCACCACCGGCTCTGGCGGGAAGGGCCTTACCCTATACAGTGTGGCTCTGGGCAGCGTGACCTATGCAGTGTGTTTTACAATCCTTGACAAAGACAAAGCCGTACCTGATTCCGGTTCGGTACCGGACCACGAGCTGCTTGTTGCCGAGCCACACACAGTCTGCGAGGTCCACCCGGTGCTGCACCTCCACTCCACCAGCTGCGTCTGGGGGCGGAGTGCACCTTATACAGCGCCACTGTGCGCACCACCAGCTCTGGCGGGTGGGGCGTTGCCCTAAACACTGTGGCTCTATGCAGTGTGGCTCTATGCAGTGTGGCTCGGTGACCCTGCGCAATCTAGCCCTGTACTATGAGCCAGCACAGTATGATCTGCAACCCTATGCCGTACCTGATTCCGGTCTGGTACCGAACCACAAGCTCCTTGTTGCCGAGCCACACACTGTCTGTGAGGTCCACTCGGTGCTGCACCTCCACCAGCAAAGCCTGGGCGGAGCGCACCTTATACAGTGCCACTGTGCGCACCACCGGCTCTGGCGGGCCGTTGCCCTCCTGCTGCTGCTGCTGCTGCTGCTGCTGCTCCTGCTGCTGCTGGGGCTGCAGCTGCTGCTGGACTGAGGACTCTGGCTGGTAGTCTCCACCCTCCCCTGTCTCTTCCCTTCTCCTGCTGCTGCTTTCTTGATCCGAGCTGCCCTCCCCTTCGCCTGCAAGACCCGCAGTACCAGTAGAACCATCTGGAGCACCAGCAGCAGCAGTAGACAAGGCACCACCCCCTCTCCTCTGCCTCTCCCGGGCTTCAATCCACTCCCTCGTCTCCCTCGCCACACTCTCAGTCCACTTCGTCCCCTCCTCTCTCTCCCTCTCCCCCTCCTCCTGCCCTTGCCCATCCCCCCCAAACATCTCATCGAAGCCCTCCTCCGATGCAGCATCAGCACGCGAGAGAAGGGAGTAGGTGAAGTCATCGTCCATCCAAGAAGGTCTCTCCTCCCCTTGTGTCCTCTTCCTCCACTCCTCCTTCACCCATTTCCACCACCCCTCACGCCTCTCCTCCTCCTCCCGCTTCGCATTCTGCACTGCGGCTGCAAAGCCTGCCACCGCTGCCTCTGCTGCTGCGACAATCGCGGCAGGAAACCGCCGGAATTTATCAGTTGGGGCTGCAGCAACGGGGGTTGTGGCTACTGGGCCGGCAACAACCGGTGCTGCAACGCCCGGGGATGCAACATCCGGGGATGCAACGCCCGGGGATGCAAGGTCCAAGGCTGCAACACTACCATCCCTAGCATCTGAATCCCCCAATGATGCAACAACGGAGGCTGCAACACCCAGGGCAGCAACACCCGGGGCAGCAACACCCGGGGCAGCAACACCCGGGGCAGCAACACCCGGGGCAGCAACACCCGGGGCAGCAACACCCGGGACTGCAACATCCGAGGCAGCAACATCACCATCCCTAGCATCTGAACCCCCCGAGAATACACCTTCCTTTTCCTGTGCAGCTGTCTCCGCCCCCTCAGTCCCCTCCTGCTTCTCCGGCTGTGTCTTCTGGGTCGACTCAAAAGTCTCCTCTTTCTCTGGCTGTGTCTGCTCCAACCACTTGCCAAACACCCGCTGCTGCTCGCCAGTCAACCACACCAAACCCCCCGGTGCTTCCTTCCCCTCAAAATGCCGCGGATGCAGTACGTCCAACTCCTCCTCACTCACTTCCTCACTCGCTCCCCCACTTGCCCCCTCACTCACTCCTCTTCCTCTCTCATTTGCTTCCTCACTCGCCCTCTCACTTTCTCCCCCATTCAATGACTCACTCACACTCGCACCACCACCTTCTAAGATGATCTCATCCTCGCTATTGTGTGCCTCACTATCAGTAACCAGCAGCTTCCGTGCTGCAGCAGAAGCAGATTCCCAGTCCACCAGCCAACCACCACTAATCTCACTCCCCTCCTCTCCCTCCCCCTCCCCTTCCCCCAGGGGTCAACACCACCAGCTTGCATCTCAGCCGTCCAATTCGTCGGATGGGTGAATCTGAACCGTGTATGCACCTCCTCCAGGAGCGGTCCTCTGCACACTAACGAAGTAGACCCTCCATCCTCCCCCTTAACCCTCCCATGCCCACTCCCCACATTCTCCACCTTATCTTTCCCAGACCCACTTCCCCCATTCTCCCCCGTATCTCCCCCCTTCTCCCCCGTATCTCCCCCCTTCTCTCCCGTATCTCCCCCCTTCTCCCCCGTATCTCTCCTGTAACCACTCCCCTCCTTCTCCCCATTACTCCCTTTCTTCACTCTCCCCCCTCTCTGCTGTTCCTTCACTATAGGAACGGCTGCGCCATGTGGCCGGAAGAGGTAGGCCCCCCCTGAGCTGGCATAGAGAGCAAACTGCTCTCTCACAGGCAGTGGGGCCGGCATTGCAGGGAGCTGGGGGGAGGAAGCGAGGGTCAAAACGGGGAAAGTGGCCATAAGGGGGGAGTGTTTAAGGTAAGTTATGTGGCCGGAAGAGGTAGGCTCCCCCTGAGCTGGCGTAGAGAGCAAAATGCTCTCTCACAGGCAGTGGGATAGGCTTGTGGTGGAGCTGGGGGGAGGAAGGAAAGGGGGTTAGAGGAGGGAATGCGTAGATGGGGGAAGGGGGAGGGGGAGGGGGAGGGGGAGGAGGGGGGGAAGGCACGTGGCGGAATGAGATTAGTCGCCCCTGCGATAGAGCGCACGGCGCCTGCACAAATATTTTTGAGGCGCCTCAAGTTTAGTCGGCCCTGCGATAGAGCGCACGGCGCCTGCACAGATATTTGCACAGCAAAGCCATGACCGAATCACCAGTGCTATTTTTGCACTGGTGATATTTGCACAGCAAATCCATGAGTCGACTCAAAAATCACCTACAGATATTTGCACAGCAAAGCCATGACCGAATCACCAGTGCTCCAATGAGACCCGCACATGCAGGGCGACCCATGCAATGCAAGCACGGCGACCCATGCAAGGCAAGCAGGGCGACCCATGCAAGCAGGGCGACACATGCAAGCAGGGCGACACATGCAAGCAGGGCGACACATGCAAGCATGGCAGTGCCGCACCGTGATGCCTTTGATGAGCCCATCCATTCGCCCAAGCTCCACTTCGCAATTGCCGTTGGATATAGAGAACTTATCCTTGCTAACATCCGCAGCACCACCAGCACCAGCAGCACTACCAGCACCACCAGCACCAGCAGCACCACCAGCGGCATCACTAGCACCATCAACAGCACCAGCAGCAGCAGCGGGACCAGCCTCATTCTCCTCTCCTCCACCACTCCCCTCCCCCCCTCCCCCCACCATCTCACACGCATACGGAACCGGGCACACAAACCCCGGAGAGGGGTTGAAAACAGATATGGACGACAGGGCAGGAGCAGGGCAGGCCAGCACAGCAGCGCGGGAGACTATAAAATAGGTGGAAAGGCCCAAGGGTGGGACGGAAGCTTCCCAGAAAAGACGGTGCCGGCCGGAAGAAGGGGTGACAGTCATGTTGGCCTTTGACCATTCGGGCAGCAGCTGCCCGGGGAAACATTTCCCTCCCTGCCCGACGATTGCTATGGACGGGGATTTGACGAGGACTGATATGATCTGTGGGTAGGGGGAGAGGGGAAAAGAGAGGGGAGAAGAGAGGGGAGAAGAGAGGGGAGAAGAGAGGGGAGAAGAGAGGGGAGAAGAGAGGGGAGAAGAGAGGGGAGAAGAGAGGGGAGAAGAGAGGGGAGAAGAGAGGGGAGAAGAGAGGGGAGAAGAGAGGGGAGAAGAGAGGGGAGAAGAGAGGGGAGAAGAGAGGGGAGAAGAGGGGAGAAGAGAGGGGAGAAGAGAGGGGAGAAGAGAGGGGAGAAGAGAGGGGAGAAGAGAGGGGAGAAGAGAGGGGAGAAGAGAGGGGAGAAGAGAGGGGAGAAGAGAGGGGAGAAGAGAGGGGAGAAGAGAGGGGGAACAGAAGCGAGGGAAGCGGAAAGACAAGACCAGAGAGGATGGATTGATATGATCTGGAGGCAGGGAAAGAGAGAGAGGGAGAGGGAGAGGGAGAGGGAGAGGGAGAGGGAGAGGGAGAGGGAGAGGGAGAGGGAGAGGGAGAGCGAGAGGGAGACGAGATCAATGGGAGAAGAGCCTCCCCTCAGCATAAAGACGAGATCAATGGGAGAAGAGCCTCCCCCTCAGCACAAAGATGAGATCAATGGGAGAGGAGCCTCCCCCTCAGCACAAAGACGAGATCAATGGGAGAGGAGCCCCCCCCTCAGCACAAAGACGAGATCAATGGGAGAGGAGCCTCCCCCTCAGCACAAAGACGATACATGGAGTGGATTCCAAAAAATCCTCCCCTCCGCAGCGCCATTCAACTCTCCACAATGGCTTATTGCTAAACTTTATTTACTTTGCACTCACCCCATCTTTTTTGCTACTCTCCTTGGCGCTCATCCCCCCCTAACCACTGACATCCTCGACTTGGTGTGCAAGTAGTTTACATTTGAGACGTCTCAAAGCTAGACTACTTCCACTCGGCCCCTCGTCTTTACTACTCTCCTCAGCGTCCACCCCCCAACCACTGACATCCTCGAATTCGCCCTCCTTACTTCCTCATCACCACCCATCGATCCCATGGCCCATCATGCCCCCACATGGCCCATCATGCCCCCACATGGCCCATTCTGCCCCCACCATCACCACTACAGCCACTCACTCACCTCCTTTCTCTCACCCAGTGGATGGAACACCACCACTCTCCATGCATCCATCCACCTTCTTTTCCCCCGACCCCAACCATCCCACTCCCCACCACAAGTCGCTCCCATGGCTCATCAAAGCACCAACTGCAACTGCGCGACCAACCACGCACCTCCCTTCTCTCCTCCTCCAAAGGATCATACACCACCACTCTCCTCGCATCCAGCTGCCCAACTCTTCGCCCCACCCCACTCCGCACCACAAGCCTCTCCCATGGGACGTCATGCACCAACCACCAACAGCACAACCACTCACCTCCCTTCTCTCTTCCTCCAACGGATTGTACACCACCACTCTCCTGGTGTCCCGCTGCCCCTCTCTTCCCCCAACTCTCCCCCCCACCCCACTCCCCACGACAAGCCGTTCCCATGGGCCGTCATGCGCCCTTCTTCGCCGCTCAGCTCGGAAAGGGGAGCGCTGCTGGGGAAGGACGGTGGAGTTGAGAGCGGTGGAGGTTGGTGCAGAAGGGTTGGAGGCACCGAGCAGAAGGGCAGCGACCGCAGCACACATGAAGTCCTGCAGTGGGTAGAAAGAGAAAGGAGGTGAGCTGTGAGACGTCTTACAACTAGGCATCTGAAATCCAGGTGTCTCAAAACGAGGCGTCTCACAGCGAGACGTCTCAAAACGAGGCGTCTCACAGCGAGACGTCTCAAAACTAGGCGTCTCACAGCTAGACGTCTCGAAACTAGGCGTCTCACAGCAAGACGCCTCAAAACGAGGCGTCTCACAGCTAGACGTCTCAGAACTAAGCATCTCACAGCGAGAAGGACAGCGACCGCGGCACACATGAAGTCCTGCGAGACGCACACCTCGTCTCAAAGTGCAACGGGCCGGCAGGAGGACGAGAGACGAGGGAAGGGAGGTGAGCGAGGAGGAGGAGGACGCGTAAGAGAAAGGCACCTTTGACTGCTGCTGACTGCTGCTGACTACTGCTGCTGACTGAATTGACCTGCGTTGACTCACATTGAGTTCTGTCAGTGCCTCGTGCATCCTCATGCTATAGTCCTTCACCGTGCCTGTGATGGCACATTTACACCTTTTGACCTGCATTGACTTGCATTGACTGCTGTTGACTTTGTTGACCCACTCACATTGAGGTCTGTCAGTGCCTCGTGCATCCTCACGCTATAGTCCTTCACCACATGCTCCTTCGCCGTCCCTGTGATGCCGTCATGGTGCTGAAACAGCGCCAGGTTGCGCCGCGCTAGCACCAACCGCGCCGCAAAGCTGGAAGACGGGGGGGGGGCAGAGGAGTGGGTGGGGGGGTCTATTCCTGCTCAGAAGTCCCTGTGATGCGGTCGTGGTGTTTGAACAGAGCCGGGTTGCGCCGCGCTAGCACCAACCGCTCAGCAAAGCTGGAAGGAGGGGGGAGCGAAAAGGGGCAGGGTGCTGAGGGGTTCGTGAGGTGGTCCTTCACTGTACCTGTGATGGCGTCCTCGTGCTGGGGAAGCAGAGGGTGGGGGGGGGGGTGGTGGAGGAGGGGAGGAAAGGGTACTGGGGGGGTTGTGGGGCAAACAGAGCCAGATTGCACCGTGACGATTGTGCCAGATTGCCAGATTATACATGAGGCGCTTTGCCTTGAGGAATGACAGCCCTACGGTTCCACGGAATGGAAAGCCTCCGAGTGAACCAGGCGAGTTTGAGAGTCCTCCTTGCCTTGAATACTTGGCCCATCCATCATCGCGAAGTGTGCATACGATGGCAGCCATTGCCTCCAGAGTTAGGGTTCAGCATGCGATCCACTGCCTTGCAGAAGCCAAAGGCGAAGGGCATTCTCTCACTTGAGGGGGAAGGGCAGTTTGTTACTCCCAGCTGTTGAGCGTTGCGCAATCAATCCCTCCTCCTTCTGTCACCAGCTCTCCCCATCCGCCCAGCACAGAGCATAGAGGATATCCGCGGCCCTGAGGTTGGCCTCCAGCACGCGATCCACAGCCTTCCAGAACGGCCGCAAGGTGAAGTGAAGTACCCACTCCAGTAGTCGTGGTCCCAGTCCGCGTATGTGGAAGAACACCTACCCAAAGGTTGAGTCCTAGCCTACAACTCACTTGAGGGGGAAGGGCAGTCGGCCGAGCTCGATGCTGCTGCCCCCAACCATCGTCCCTTGGAAGGTCGCTGAATCCTCCCTTGGCTGAGAGCTTTCCCAGTCGGACCAGCAGAGCGCGTAGAGGATGTCAGCCGCCCTGAGGTTGGCCTCGAGCGCGCGATCCACAGCCTTCCAGAACGGCCGCGAGGTGAAGTACCCGCTCCAGTAGTCCTGGTCCCGATCCGCGTACGTGAAGAAGTCCCCCGATAACGACGGGAGCAGCGGGCGCGCATTTGAAAGAAGGCTATCTGGAATGGGCCTATTTGAATCAAGACTGTTTGAAAAGAGCCTGAGGGGATAAAGTTTTTTTGGAAGAAGCCCGAGCTGCTTTGCTCTCCGCGTTGCCCTCTGTCTGGAGGAGGCGGTGCGCATGGCAGTGAAATAGTCCTCGAGGGTGCCGAAGCTGGCGTTGACTTTAAGAGACTTTCTTGAATTGATGAAGCGGAAGAGCAGCTCGTAGTTGTGGAACTGGGCGTGGGCCTCGAGCATGGACGAGTAGCGGAAGTCGTCCCCCAGAGGAACCAGGAGCACGTTGGTTCTGAATAGCAGAGACTTCTTGCGCCACTGCACATGGTTAGGTTTTGGGAGTTTTGGGAGTCCAGGGGAAAGGGCAAACAGCAGACGAAGGGGAACAGCAGGAGGGGATGGCAGGGTGTGTGTGGGCCTCGAGCATGGAGGAGTAGCGGAAGTCGTCCCTTAAGGGAACCAGGAGCACATTGGTGCGGAATAGCAGAGACTTCTTGCGCCACTGGTTGGGGGTAGGGGCAGGGGAACAGCGCGAGTCAGACAGAGTGTGGGCCTCGAGCATGGAGGAGAAGCGGAAGTCGTCGCCCAGAGGGATCAGCAGCACGTTGGTGCGGAAGAGGAGCGGCTTCTTGCGCCACTGGAAAGGTTTCGGGGGGGGAGGGGAGCGGAAAAGGGTAACCAGGAGGAGGAGGAGGAGGAGGAGAACTGGTGATTTTTGAGTCGACTCAAAAAAAGATTTTTCAATCGACTCAAAAATCACCAAGTTTCGGGGGGGGGAGGGGAGCAGAAAAGGGTAACCAGGAGGAGAAGAACTGGCTGTAGATAAAACTTTTTGCGATGATTCAAATTGGAATGGATTGCTGACGTCGAACTACCGAGTACCGAATATCAGAAGCTTTCATCGTACCATGTACTCAAAAGTCACCTCAGCATTTCCAATAGACATGACATCATGCCAAAAATGACATCATGCCAATGATGAAGCTCCAGCACCTCGAGTTATTTCACACCCTTTATGACCACGCCCATGCCCATGATGACATAACACCTCGAGTTATTTTAACACCCTTTATGACCACGCCCATGCCCATGATGACATAACACCTCGAGTTATTTTAACACCCTTTATGACCACGCCCATGCCCATGATGACATAACACCTCGAGTTATTTTAACACCCTTTATGACCACGCCCATGCCCATGATGACATAACACCTCGAGCTATTTTAACACCCTTTATGAACTGGCCCATGCCCATGATGACATAACACCTCGAGCTATTTTAACACCCTTTATGAACCGGCCCATGCCCATGATGACATAACACCTCAAGTTATTTTAACACCCTTTATGACCACGCCCATGCCCATGATGACAGAACACCTCGAGTTATTTTAACACCCTTTATGACCACGCCCATGCCCATGATGACATAACACCTCGAGTTATTTTAACACCCTTTATGACCACGCCCATGCCCATGATGACATAACACCTCGAGTTATTTTAACACCCTTCATGACCACGCCCATGCCCATGATGACATAACACCTCGAGTTATTTTAACCTTCTTTATCATCTAGACTCCGTCCATATCTGAACAGTATGGCGATAAAATTATGCCGATAAAATTAGGCGCCTCAAAGTATGGCATAGATTTTTCCCCCAAAGGACTGAGTGAACGCTGGCTTGAAAAAGCTGAGTGGTTTGCGCCACTGTTAAGGTTTTGCTACTTGTCTGGGGAAATTGAAGCGAGGTGATGGGGATATGTGAAAGATTCAGATGGTTTTTGAGTTTAAAACAAAAAAAACGCCGATTGAAGCGATGTGATAGGGACATGCGAAAGTTTTGAGACCTCTCAAAACTGAATTGAAGCAAGGTGATAGAGATATGCGAAAGATTCACAAGGACCAAACAAAGCACAATCCTCTTAGCTCTTAGAGCTCTAAGAGAACCACCCTAATAGCTCAAACCAAGCTGTAACTCATGGCTCTCTTGGAGGAGCAGCATGCCGAAACTCATCTTGAGGTTGAGGCTGTCAGGGTGCCTCAGAACCCTGACTTGAACCCTGACAGCCTGCCTCGTGCCCATTCAGCGATGTTGTCCCTTGTAATGAGTATCCCAACTTAACAACATACACCACTTCGCTGAGCCACTCCAACGACCCTCGACTCCTATCAGAACCGAGTATCAGGACGATTAAGCCCATCTCTCACCTGGTCCACCAGGGTGCTTCTGAGAATTCTCAAGAACTCCCTCGACTCCTATTCAGCGATGTCGGCCCTTGTAATGAGTATCCCTTGTAATGAGTATCCCTTGTTATGAGCAGCATCCCAACTTGACCGCACATACACCACTTAGCTGAGCCACTCAGCAAAACTCCCTTGACTCCTATCAGAACCGAGTCCCAGCAAGATAAAGCTAATCTCACTGGTCCGCCAGGGCCCAGGGTGCTTTTGAGAATTCTCAGAAACTCCCTCCACTCCTATCAGACCCAGGTTTCAGCAAGATTAAGCCCATCTCACTCACCTTGTCCACCAGCAGCTGTGCTCGCTGTGCGATGTTGTCCCTCGTGATGGGTATCGCGTCCTGTCCGCATGGGCACCAGTCGCTTGTGCTGCACTAGAGGGGCTGACTCTATCTATCCCATCGCACCTATTCCCACAGCACCCATTCCCATCTCACCTGGTCCACCAGCAGCTGTGCGCGCTGTGCAATGTTGTCTCTCGTGATGTGTATCGCATCCTGGCTGCATGGGCACCAGTTCCCACCGCAACCATTCCCACCACAACCAGTCCCACCGCACCTGGTCCACCAGCAGCTGTGCTCGCTGTGCAATGTTGTCCCTCGTGATGGCTATCGCGTCCTGACCCCATGGGCACCAGTCGCTTGTGCTGCACTAGAGGGGCTGACTCTTATCTATCCCATCGCACCTATTCCCACAGCACCCATTCCCATCTCACATGGTCCACCAGCAGCTGTGCGCGCTGTGCAATGTTGTCTCTCGTGATGGGTATCGCATCCTGGCTGCATGGGCACCAGTTCCCACTGCACCCATTCCCACTGCAACCAGTCCCACCGCACCTGGTCCATCAGCAGCTGTGCTCGCTGTGCAATGTTGTCCCTTGTGATGGCTATCGCGTCCTGCCCCCATGGGCACCAGTTCCCACCGCACCCATTCCCACCGCACCCATTCCCACCGCACCCATTCCCACCGCAATATTCCCACCGCACCCATTCCCACCGCATCTGATCCACCAGCAGTTGCGTTCGCTGTGCAATGTTGTCGCTTGTGACAGGTATCGCGTCCTGCGCCCCTGGGCACCACACACCTGAGCCGGCTAGACCAGCTGTTTCTATCCCACCGCACCCATTCCCACTGCACCCATTCCCATCTCACCTGATCCACCAGCAGTTGTGCTCGCTGTGCAATGTTGTCCCTTGTGATGGGTACTGCGTCCTGCCCCCATGGGCACCAATTATTTGTCCCTCTCTTGCGCAAAAAGTCAAACTGTTGGCAGCAGACAGAACAGAGGGGCAATAGGTCAGTCAGCATGTGGGTGGCATGGCATGGCATGGCATGGTATCGCATGGCATGGCATGGCATGCATATGAGATGCCCCCTGAACTGATTTTAAAGCATCATGCGGCCCAAACGAGCGAATTTCATGATCAAGCACACCTTTGCAAATGAAAGCAAGTGAACATGTTCACGACATGTCGAATTCACGTACTAATTTCCAGCGTCTAGACTCACTTGGCAGCACGCTTATCTCCTCACCTGGCTGGTGAGGACACACCAGACACGACTCACTTGGTGAGCACGTGTCTCGTCTAGACTCACTTGGCAGCACGCTTACCTCCTCACCTGGCTGGCAGCATGTATCTCGATTCGACTCACCTGGCAGCACACACCCGGAGTGGGTCCGCACGTGTGTGGGATGTCGTACGAATAGAAGGGCATCATGTGGCACACAATGTCCGTGCTCCCTTCCCCTCCTGCCTCCTCTTGCTGCTTCTCTCCTCCGTAAACCTCCGCTCCCTGTCCTTGCGAGAACAAACCACTCCTCATCCTGCCCCCCCACTTTTCCCTAGCGCGCCTAGCCTGTCTCCATTCTTGAGTCGCCTCAAAAGTCCTCTCCCCGGACCTGTCCCGAGCCTCAAAAGTCCTACCCCCTGATCTGTCCCAAGCCTGCCTCCAGAAGAACTCCAGCTGCTTCTGCTTTGCCAGGGCCTTCTTGACCTCGTAGTGGGTGCGCTGAATTAACATGTTGGAGAATCCGGATCTGACAATAACGGGGATAGCAAGGGAAGGCATGAGGAGGAGGCTTCAAGGCGCCTTTGTGACCTTGTAGTGGGTGCGATAGATTAGCATGTTGGCGAAGCCTGATCGGACAGGAACGTGGGGAAAACGACACGGCAGTAAAACATGCAGCTTGACGCAACAGCATACATACAACAAAGGGCCCATTGAGTTTGTTTTTTATTTTATTTTTTTAGATTTCTAAAGTCGGCCGCCTGGCAATGGCAAGGCTCACTGGGCCTATTGTTGAGGCACCTCAAAGAGAGATTATGACATGCAGTCAGGCTATTTTTGAGGCGCTTTTTTAGGCGCTTTTTGAGGCGCCTCAAAGATCATGAAATGCTGTCAGGCAGACACATCAGATCCCATAACGATGAGCCCATGCCCATACCTCCGCAGCAGAGCTGACTTTTGAGTCGACTCAAAAATCAGCTCACTATTGAGTCGACTCAAAAGTCACATCAGATCCCATAACGATGAGCCCATGCCCATACCTCCGCAGCAGATACGGCATGGTAGCAGAATGACCGAAGGGATCGATTGCCCAACTGTTGGTGGGTGCCACTCCTAAGTTGTCATACAGCCATGTGTTGCCCTCAGTGAGCTGCGAGGAAGGAGTGAGATAGGGGGAGGGATTGGGGGGAGTGAGGGGGGGAGGATTCGTGGCCCCGACTGTTGGTCGGCGCCACTCCTAGATTGTCATACAGCCATGTGTTGACCTCGGTGAGCTGAGAGGAAAGAGTGAGACGCGGGGAGAGGGGGGAGGGGAGGAAGAGGGGGGAAGATTCATTGCTCTACCCAAGCTCTCCAAACTCAATGGCCCAACTGTTGGAGGGTGCCACTCCTAAATTGCCATACAGCCTTGTGTTGCCCTCAGTTAGCCGGCAGGGGAGCCAGGGGGGGAGAGGGGAGTGCATGTGATGGACAATGCGCATGTGAGGGGAGAGGGGAGAGGGGAGAGGGGAGTGCATGCGAGGGGCGGAGAGGGGATTGCATGTGATGGACAATGTGCATGTGAGCGGAGAGGGGAGAGGGGAGAGGGGAGAGGGGAGAGGGGAGAGGGGAGTGCATGCGAGGGGGGAGGGAGAGGGGATTGCATGTGCATGCGAGGGGGGGAGAGGGGATTGCATGTGATGGACAATGTGCATGTGAGCGGAGAGGGGAGAGGGGAGTGCATGCGAGGGGGGAGGGAGAGGGGATTGCATGTGCATGCGAGGGGGGGAGAGGGGAGTGCATGTGATGGAAGGAGGGAGAAAGACAATTCCAATACTCTATGCTTTCAAAGCTCAAAGATCCCAAATAAGAACAATGAGGCTCCCATTCCAACATGGGAATGGGAAAGGGGTTGAATATGCTATGCTTGTAAGGGGAGTGGAGCAGATAAAGAGTCACACACACTCGAGTGTGGTAAAGGGGTGCTACATTGCTTATTGTGGTTAAAAGGGTGCTGAGCTCACCTGTTCTATGATCGCATAGTAGTGGGTGTTGGCCTGAAAAGAGCGATGAGCATACAAGAGAGCGAGAGGGTGACGAGGGGGGGAGATGGGGAGAGGGGGGGAGAGGGGGGGACAAGGGGGGGAGATGGGGAGAGGGGGGAGATGGGGAGAGGGGGGGAGAGGGGGGACGAGGGGGGGAGAGGGGGAGAGGGGGAGAGGGGGGGAGAGGGGGAGAGGGGGGAGAGGGGGAGAGGGGGGAGAGGGGAGAGGGGGGGAGAGGGGGGGACGAGGGAGGGACAAAGAGAGCGAGAGGGTGACGAGGGGAGAGGTGGGGAGAGGGGGGGAGATGAAAAATCAGACAATCTCGCAGTCAAGCTGACAGGTGAAAGAGCGAGTGGACGGGGAAGCAAGCGGAGGGAGGGGCAGCAGAGAGGCGAATAGACAGATGAACAGATGGAAAGAAGGATGGAGCATCAACTCACTCACTCCTTCAGATTCACGAGGTGCCTCGACCCAGACTTCCAAGTACCACCCTCTCACCTCGTCGTTCATAACCCACCCGCCCCCCACGATCTCCAGCTGGCCTGAACGCACCAGCGCCCTCATCCCCTCCCTCTCCTCCTCGGTGGCGTCCATCCACCACCGGCTCAAATACGACATCTCCTCCCAGATGAACCGGCGCGAGGGGGACTGGAGACGAAAGGGGTTGGGAGGGATACAAGAATGAGGTAAACAGGTTAAGCGCGATTCCCTCCCTCTCCTCCTCACTGGCGTCATCCACCAGCAGCCCAGGTACGACATCTCCCCCCAGATGAACCTGGGCGAGGGGAACTGCAGGAGGCAAGAAGTTCAGGGTTGAGGAAAAATATTGCAATTGAGCAGCAACTGCCTCTCCTCGGTGGCGTCCATCCACCAGCGGCCCAGGTACGACATCTCCTCCCAGATGAACCTGCGCCAAGGGGACTGGTGTGGGGGGGGGTTGGGGGGGTTAGGCACAAGGGGCATTGAGATAGTGGCGTTACAACTGAAACATCCAACAGCCCTCTCCTCCTCTTTGGCTCCCCCCCCCCCCCCCCCCCCCTCCCCCCTCCCCCCCCCCCCCAACCACCACCACCACCACCACCACCACCACCACCACCACCACCACCAGCGGCCTTCTCTCCTACCAGAAGAATCCAGGTACTACATCTCCTTTTGAGGCGCCTCAAAACTAGAATCCAGGTACTACATCTCCTTTTGAGGCGCCTCAAAACTAGAATCCAGGTACTACATCTCCTCCCAGATGAACCTGTGCGAGGGGAACTGGAGAGTAAAGGGAGGTCTGTCTGTCTGGGGTTTCTGGGACAGGGATTACGGTCAAACGCCAACGCCTGATTGATTCTTGAGTTGTCTCAAAAAGCGCCAAGAGGAAAGGGGTCTGGGGTTTTTGGGACAGGGATTATGGTCAAACGCCAACTCCCGCTCTGTCGCCTCGCCCCCCCCCCCCCCCCACCACCAGCGGCCTTCTCTCCTACCAGAAGAATCCAAGTGAAGGGGACTGGAGAGAAGAAGCGTTTGGGGTTCAGGGTTTAAGAATGCAAGCACATGCAGATATTACATGCGTCCATAACCCCCTCCTTCTCCCCTGCTGTGGCGTCCATCCAGCAGCGGCTGAGGTGCGGCATCTCCTCCCAGCCCAGATGAAGCAGCGCAAGGGGGACTGGAGAGGAAAGGCAATGGGTGGGGGAAGTGACCGGGGAGGGGGAGTGACCTTGGGGGAGGAGTGACCTGGGAAAGAGAGTTAGACCTGAGAGAGGGAGCGCAGGATGGTGTGCAGGATGTGTTGGGACGTAGCAATGTCCTGGGAAGGAGAGACAGAGTAGTGACCTGAGACAAGGAGCGCAGGATGGTGTGCAGGATGTGTTGGGACGACTTGTTGTAGTACTGCTCCACTGTGAGCAGCCACCCGGGGTCGTTGTGCGAGTGCGGCACCACAAACACCCTCAAGGGCTCCTCGTCCCACTCGTGCCCCTTGTACCCGAGCTTCCACCCCTGGGAGAGGGGAAAGGGAAACACAAACACGAGTGAGAAGGATGGGCGGGGGAGGGGGAGAGATGAGAGTGCGGCACCACAAACACCCTCAAGGGCTCCTCGTCCCACTCGTGCCCCTTGTACCCAAGCTTCCACACCTGGGAGAGGGGAAAAGCAGAGGGGAAGGATGGATCGGGAAGTCAGGTCGGGGGATAGCATGCAAGATTCCATGTTTCATTCGCCCCCCTTGCATTCAAGATTCCATCCCTCACCCTCCTCAAGGGGTCCGTGTATTAACCCTCAGCAGCTCCAACCCTCACCAGCTCCAGCCCTCACCAGCTCCAACCCTCAGCAGCTCCAGCCCTCACCTGGGTCCTCGTCCCCCCCTTTTCATAGCCAAACTTGATATTGTCGTCATAAACCGCTTCATGCGAAAGCCTGTAGTAGACTCCTCCTGCCTTCAACCCTCACTCTCACCAGTTCCAACCCTCACCAGTTCCAACCCTCACCTGCCCCAACCCTCACCTGGGTCCACTTCCCCCCTTTCTCATTGTCAAATTTGATACTGTCATAAAATCATGCTCTCGTCCTGGATTTTGCAGGGTGTTTTTGAGAATTCTACAAAACACCCCATAAAATCATGCTCTCGTCCTGTCCTTCAGCCCCCATGCTCACCAGATCCAAAACAACCCTCCCCCTCCAACCCTCACCAGTCCCAAACAACCCCCACCAGTCCCAACCAACCCCCACCAGTCCCAACCCTCACCTGAGTCCACTTGCCCCCCGCCACGTTATCAAACGTGATACTGTCATAAACTCGCTTCATGTTAATGTCCGTTGTTGGCTCCGCTTCCCCACCCCCCGCTTCCCCCTCCCCTGCATCCTTGCCCCCTGGATCCTTTCGCTTACTGCGCTCGAGTAGAAGGGCACGGAACCCCCTAGAAGCAGCCTCGATACTGTCTCCTGGAGGTGGGACGAGAATTGAGGAGACGAATAGACGAAGTAAAAAGAAAAATTTACAGGAAGACTTGGAGTTGCCAAAACCCTAGGCTGCCAGGGTTTACGCTGCAGGCTATCTGCGACCATAGGTATCCACATAGCATAGCATACCATAGCATAGCATAGCACAGCATGGCATGGCATGGCATGGCATAGCATAGCATGGCATGGCATGGCATGGCATGGCACGGCATGGCATAGCATGGCTCACACATTGCTCGCATAGCTACTAGACTAGACAAAAGGCCCACTTTAACTGCATTCTTTAGTGAATGTCGCTAGATTTTCAAATTGTAGCTCTCCTTCTGACATGTAATTTTGTCGACGCCATCACATCTCTGTGGTCCGAACTGCTAAACCCGTTGACATGCGATCTCTGATGTTTGTGTCAACTTTGTGTCCTGTTTGGTTCGATACTGAGTCGACCTGGAGTCGGCAAAAGCTTCTGCTGACTCCTTGGCGTGTGACATCCAGATATGGCCACTCAATGATAGGTCATAACTCCCTTGAATTCGGACAATTCAAGGACAGGGAAATCCGCTACTAGCTGAAGGGGGAAAATATAAATAAATAAAAAACTACCAAAGTTAGTGCGATCAAATAACTAATTAGTATCTCAAGAAGCGAATGTACAAACTGGAGTGGAGGCTGCGTAGCAGCACTACTATTAGAGATACCGCCCTGGATCATCTTAACGACGACACACAGAGGCTAAGTAGCAGCACGGACGACATGGACCATACTAGTCTGACGTACTAACTGAAGCACTTCTACTAGTAGTACCAGCATTTAAGTAACACGAACCGTAGAGATGGAAGAGCAGCACGTTACTAAGCGCCGCCGCCACGGCCAGCAAGCATATGAAGCACTGCGGGGTCGTCCAGGGGTAGCGAGTAGCCACCGTACGCCGCCGGGCAGAGGAGCCTATCCCGCCGACCATGGGGGATCATCGAACAGGCTCTGGTGACCAGAATTCTCAAGGTGATAAGAGTTCTCAAACTCCAGCCATGGGATGAAGAGACTGCCTGAGTGACGACTCAAATCACAGAATACTGTAGCAGAGAGAAATGTCAGGGACACAAGTCCGAGAATAGGTGTCCTAGTAGCAAGCGACGCTCGGGGGAGACCCATGATGGCTGGGGATGCTTGCTGTAGCAGCCTAAGGAAGTCGCACTCAACAGCTGTAGCGTCGGACATTGAAGGTCTTGACATTGGGATTGCCTGGGCAGGCCAGCCACATCGATGCAACCGCGATATACCCGACCTCTCTGCCAATTGTCAGCACTTCTGTAGAACAGTGGATACTCTTGTTCGCAATGACTCGAAATCCAAACATCCTAACAAAGTTAGTGTTACGAAGAAAGATTCATGCTTATAACATCCTTGCTTATAAAATGGTGATGGATGTTCTATATTGCGGAATTTCCAGGTAAGAAATCATCTCGTGCTTCACTGTTTTCTCTTAAAATTAAATCGTACAGGAGTGGATAAATAAATGTAATAATTATGAGATTGAAAGTAAGGTTTGAATGATGACTTCCATCATTCTACGGTAAGAGAAAACAATCATAAGGCCCTCCTTCAACATTGCATACGCACGTATCGCGTATTCTCTGGTCGGAGAATCAGTCCACCCCTCGCTCATCCCAAGGCTGCCTCGCTCTTCTTCCCCCACCCACTACTCCGTGCCGCCATGGATATGGACTTCACCCTAGCTGTTCACTTGCCATTCGCTTACCTTTGCCTTCGTGTTGTTTCACCAAGCTTCCTTGTCTTACGCTCGTGTCCTCATTCCAATGCCCAGTGTCACGGATTTCCAGCTGCACAACACTCCCCTTTCCACGGCCGACCAGAGACAGAAGTTCGCGAGGCGAATCTGAAGTCCTCGGTAGGCAGAAGTTCGCTCAATGGACGGCGATGAAAATGACGGCAACCGTCAGCGGAACCGGAAGCTCGACCGTTCCTTTCCGCTGCACTGTACTGTACAGTCAGTCGTGTACAGTGCTACCAACACTTATGATTTCGGCGACAGCTATTCAGGCGGCTACTGTTCACTGGACAGCAATCCCCGAATTTATCGCTGAGCGGACCCCCAGTGTGCCGTCCAAAGAGCCGCCTCCTCCTCAGCCTCCTGAGCCTCCTGAGCCCCCTGCGCCTCCTGAGCACAACTGAATGGACTCCTGATTGCCGATATCGAATCCCGACGAGTCATCATTGAGTGCGGTGGGCTAGCCGACTTTTTATTACAGTAGTACTGTCCTGTAGTTTTGCGGCGACAGGGGCACCTACTAGTGTAGTACTCTGCGAACTTCGCGGTGGTGCATTTCGCCGTTCCCACACCATGCTGCGTGCCTTGGATCTACACGTGGCCGTTTCTACGCGGTTCCTCGCCGTTCCGACTCTTCCGTCGCCGTACCGTACGCTGTGGCAGCAGATCGCGCAGCGCCATCTGCTGCCACAGCGTATGGTAGGTACGGCGGAGGCTGCGTCGCCTCCTCGAGTCAAGCCTCAAACCTAATCTTGTCGCGTCGAGCCGTCCTTCGCGGTCGCATCGGATCCAGTGGTTGGGATCTTTGGAAGCTTCGAGGAATGGGCTCTAGAAGTGCCGATTCGTCAGCCACTGAGGTATAAGATTGAGAAGATCGGTTTTTGGGTCATTCAACTTCTCAAGATAGTTTATCTTCATTTACTTTCAAGGCACAAACGCCGCTAGTCCTTCTCCTCCCATTCTTTTCGCTCCACTCTAATCAGCTATCTACTGGCTAGACCCCTCGAAGTCTCAGACAGAACTAGACCCTTCCGCTTCAATTTCCATATAAGATCATATCTGCAAAGGCGTAAACTTTAGCACATTAGGCTGCAGGGAGCTCTCTCATGGCTGCCTTTCTGCGCGCCACCTTTCTCCTCCTCTCTCTCCTCCTCCTCACTGCTTCAGCTGCAGCAGCCAGCACTTGCAAGTGTCCGCCTGCCCGTTCACCTGCCCGCACTTCTGCCCGGCGCCCTGCGCCGACCAAGGCGCAGATCAAGGCGGAGGTGAAAAGGATGGCGCAGCGCCTGGTGCAGAGATACCCGCAGTACTCCAAGTTCTCCAAGGACTTCAACAAATACGTCAGCCTGGCGTGTGAGTGTGATATGGTGCATGTGTCATTGTGTAACAGTAAGAGTATGGTTACACTGGTTGCATCTCGTCTGGTGCAGAGATACAAGCAGTACTCCAAGTTCTTCAAGGACTTCAACGAATACGTCAACCTGGTGTGTGAGTGCTGTGATCTGGTTACCAGAACCAACAATCCACCCGAGTCTCCAACAGCTTGACAACCACAATATGCCTGTCTTCCTCTTCTTCCACCCGCAACAAACGCACACATGCCCTGTAATTCACGTTTCTTCTAACCTTGGATGCCTTCCATTCCCATTCCATTCATTCCCATCATTCATTCCCACCATTCATTCCCACCCTTCACCTTGGATGCCTTCCTAATCCATCCATTCCCAACCTTCACCGTCCCTCCAAATGCAAGTACCCTTCCCTTACACTCTTCCTTTCCGATCCCAATCCTATTCCCACCTCTCCAGTGAACTCCTTCCTTCCAGTAGATTTCACCCTCTTTCATGTTTCTGTCCTTCCCAATCCCCATCCTTCACCCCCTCCAGTGAACTCCAAGTACAACTTCTCAGCGCTTGCTGACGCGACCCTCCTCATTCCCAGCAACAGGGCTGCATTGGCGCTTTCCAAGAAGCTTCCTCTCACCTCCAAGAACATCCCCAGGGCCTACAACGTCTCAGCGTACCACATCATCGCGAAAAGATTCACTCTGCCCAAGCTCAAGGCCATGCGGGCCGGTCAGCCGCTGCCAACTCAGCTGCGGCAGGCTCTTTATAAGCTGACTCCGAAGAACGGCAGAGTGGTCATGTTTGGGACGTACCCTCGCGCCAGAGCGAGGGGGGTTGTAACGAGCAGGGTGCTGATCCCTGGCATGTACGTCGGCCCGTACTTCATTGCCCATGGCGTGGACCGCGTGCTGCTGCCCCGAGGCACCCGGGTTTAAACTGGACCGCTGGCGGAGGGACTGTTGCCAGTGCATGAGTGGGAAGCGGCTGCTGCTGGATCAATGCTGTTGCTGTTGCTCTTGCTGATTCCTGGCATGTACATTGGGCCACACTAGTTCATTGTGCATGGCGTGTGCTTCTGCCTCGAGGCATGCGCGTGTAAAGAAAGGGGGAAGGGACGGTTGTCGGGGGAGGGATGGTTGTCAGGGGAAGTTGAATAATGCTAGAAGAATGGTGGAATGGAGGGTGGTGTAACTGCAGTTGTTGCTGCTGCATGACACGCTGAGTAGGTTTTGTTTTTTCCATGGTGTGGGTTGGGTGGCTCCCTTCTGCCTCCAGGCACGCACGTATGAGAAGAGGCATGAAGACCAGCTGGGGAAAAGGGAGCTGTGGCTGTTAAACCTGACTATAGCATCTTGTTATGAATTACTATACACATGTTACGGTTGGATAGATAATGTTTACGTTATGCCATGCTGCAATTTACAAAATATATGCCCTTGCCCACATCACAGCCCATCTGCTCCCTGCTCTGCCCTAGAGAATGAACTCAACAACACACATAAATGGTAACACGGGAAACCTAGAACTTGAAATGAGAACGATGCCTATTGCAAAGGACAAGAAAGCAAGCTTTCGCAATGAAACCAAACAGCAAGACCAGCCAACACGAGTCGAAGTATAATGGGAATGCCCAGAACCGGTATGTGCAGGCTGTCAAAATGAGAACGAATAATGACTAGAGGTGGAAACCTAGAACAAATACTAGTTGGTTGTACTCACTAGAAGCATACCTCAGTCTAGCCTATAACTTCTACATAGATAATATGTATAAGTTGACACACCCCCTAGGCTAGACAAGGGGTGAAACTAAACAAGAAGCAAACAGCTCAGGGCGGCACTACTAGTCCAACCACTGAGGCAGGGGTCTGGAGACCAGTCAGCAAGAATACAACCAAAACTGAAGCAAGCCAGGGTGGCACTACTAGTCCAGCCACTGGAGGTAAGGCCACAAGGCCAGTCTGACAAGCATATATAATAGAGAGTACACAATCAGGATCCTAACAGGGGAGCAGCTACAGGAACAAGACCAAGCTGTACACAGTGCCGCTGATGATCTTTAGGCGCAAGCGCCTTAGTAAAGATATCAGCTGTGTTGGCACCTGAGGCCAAGTGAACTACGCGGGCCTGGCGGCGCTGCTGTAGCTCGCGCAGGAGGAAGTACCGCAGCTGGATATGCTTCGCTCTGCCCTCAAGCCGAGGCTCCTGACACAGGAGAATCATGGCCCTGTTGTCAGCGTACAGGACCGGGGCAGAGCTAGGCCGCTCACCTAAGTCAGTGAGCAAGAAGGTCAGCCAGCGGAGCTCCTGTGCCGCCATGGCACCAGCGTAGATCTCAGCCTCACAGCTAGACTGAGCCACAGATGACGAGCGAGTGGATCTCCAAGAGATAGCACCCGAACCAAGGCTAAAACAGTAGCCCTGCGACGACCTGAGCGTCTCAGCGTCGTCTGCCCAAGAAGCGTCTGTGTGCCCAGTAAGGACCACTGGCCTGCGTCCTCCTAGCACTAACCCCATGCCTGATGTACTAGCAAGATAACGCAAAACCCTCTTAGCGGCAGACCAGTGCTGAGGTCGGTGTCTGCCTGTAGCCACAAAGCGAGCCAGGATGCTGAGAGGGTATGCGAGATCTGGGCGCGTGCAAGTCATCAGGTACATGAGGCAACCCACCAGCTCTGCGTAGGGGCCACTGGGCTCTACTGGCTCCTCAGGAACGGGAGCAGAGAGCCCATGGTCTACGGGTAGAGGTGTGGGCTGTGCGGAGGAGAACTGAAGACCGAACCTCTGAAGGACCTGACGCACCAAGTGTGACTGGGTCAGAGTGATGGTGCGTGCTGCTCTGTCCCTGGAGATCTGCAGGCCAAGATAGCGACGCAGCTCTCCAAGGTCAGTGCAGGTGTGTCTCTTCAGCAGCTCAGCCTTCACAGAGGCCAGTGCGTCCCTGTCAGGAGTAGCGAAGACCAGGTCGTCTACGTAGACAAGGATGTAGAACGGAGTCTGGCCGGAACGCACAAACAGTGAAGGGTCAGCAGAGGACGGAAAGAACTGCAGGTCTGCTAACGTGGCACGTAGCGTGTCGTGCCACTCGCGGGGAGCCTGACGCAGGCCGTAGACCGGGCGCCTGAGAAGCCACTGGGTCCCAGGAGGGAAGGTACCAGTGAAGCCCTGTGGTCGGCGCAGGTAGACCTGCTCGTGAAGGCTGCCCTGAAGAAAGGCAGTAGAGAAGTCGAGGGAGTGAAGCTCGTAGTCACGCTGTGCTGCTACGTGTAGCAGCGCCCGAAGAGTGGTCATCTTCGGGGTCGGGGCGAAGGTCTGGAAGAAGTCAACCCCCTCGTGCTGACTGAAACCTCTGGCCACGTAGCGCGCCTTGAAGACAGGCGGCTCTCCAGGTGGGCGCTTCACCTTGAAGAGCCACCGACCATCGACTACGTTCACCCAAGGCGGGGGAACTGCGTCGACGTAAGTGCCGGTGGACCTCCAAGATGCCATCTCCTGCTCCATGGCAGCTATCCACTGAGAGGCCCAAGGTCCCGAGGTGGCCTCAGCGTAGGTGCGAGGGGTCGGGATGTCGAAGGCGTCTGGGTCACCCTCAGGGACTAACAGCATGGAGCAGAGATGGGGAGCAGCCTCGGAAAGGAAAGCCAGCTCGTACTGCCTGTCCTCTAGGACGTCACTGCCAAGGGCAGGAGCACCCCCGACGGACGGAGGACGGGCAGGGTCAGAGACCAGAGCGGTAGCGTAGTCAAGGCGGCGGGTAGAGGCGAAGTCAGCGACAGCAGCGACAAGCGCGTCAAGGCGCGAGACAGGAACAGCAGGGTCGGTAACAAGAGAGGCAAGGACCCGAGGGACAAGGGGACGAGCAGCACGGAGGTAGTCAGAGAACGGAGGAGGTGCAACAGCAAGGGACGAGGGAGGAGGGGACGGGAGGAGGGGAGGACGAGACGAGCGGGAACGGAGCAACATAGGGTGGGTGGGCAGGACAGGAGAGACGGGACGAGCACGGGAGGGACGGCGAGTCCAAACGTGAGACGGAGGGGTAGGGTCAGGGGACAGCGGAGGAGACACAGGAGGGGAACGAGGAGGAAGACGGGCCGGAGACGAGTCCGGCGGCGGGAACACAGGACCGTAGACAGGAAGGTCAGTAGGCGGTGGGGGAGACACCGGCGCGCGGTCCGGGGAGGGAAGGCCGAGCAGGCGGAGAGCGGAAACCGGCGGCGACGGCTGCTGCGGCGGCGACGACGGCTGGGCCGGAACTCTCGGACCAGCAAAGGCAGAACGACCGTCGGCAGAACACTCAACAGCAGCACCCCCAGAACCAACACCCCCAGAGCGAGAACCCCCTCCAACACCAGCGGCACCCCCAGAAGCCGCAGGACGAACACCCTCCTCCACACCAGCACCCCCAGGGGCCAAGAGCGGCGGCGGCAGTGGCGGCAACGGCTGCGGCGGCGGCGACAGCGGCGACGGCTGCGGCAGCGACAGCGGCGGCGGCGGTGACGGCTGCGGCGGCGACGGCTGCGGCAGCGACGGCGACGGCGGCGGCAGCGGGGTCGGCGACTGCGACAGTGGGGGCGGAGGCACCGAGGAAGGGGGACGCAGCAAGGACGGACCGGGGGTACCACCAGAGTCAGCAGACTCCTCAAGGGGGACAACCGACGGGAGGGGAGTGACGTGGGAGACACCAGACGGGGCAGGACGAGGCGGGAGAGGGGCAGGGGCTACCGGGGGAGAGGGAGCAAGGAACAAGGGGGGGGCAACTAGGAGACCTCGGTGAGGGAAGCGGCGGTAGAAGGAGACGGACTCGTCAAAGGTGACGTTACGAGAGTGCAGGAAGCGGTGAGACGGCGGGTGGTAGAAAAGCCAGTCAGACGAGTCCAGGGGGAAACCGAGGAAGACACAGGGGACAGTGCGGGCAGTGAGCTTGTCCGTGCCAGAGGCACGAACGTGAGCAAGGCAGCCCCAGACGTGGAACGCAGACGCGTCACCGGGGGACCCGGTCCAAAGGAGGGTCGGCGAAACCTGCGGCCGCTGGGAGCGTGGCCACAGGTTAAGCTGGTGAGCAGCGTAGCGAACAGCGAACGGCCACAGAAAATGGGGGGCATCGGCATGGATCATGGAGGTACGGGCGACCTCCATGACCAAGCCGATGCGGCACTCAGCAACCCCATTCTGCTGTGGCGAGTCCGGCAACGTGTACGACTGGGTGATGCCCTCCGCACGACAGAACTGTCCAAGCCGACCAGAGGCGAACTCGCCGCCACGGTCGGAGTGGAGACACAACACGGGGAGACCGCGGTGGAGACGCGCAGCCACAACCCACGGGAGAAGAACGTCGGGCACGTCGGCCTTCCGCTCCAGGAGAAACACCGTGGTGTAGCGCGTGTAGTCGTCGACGAGCACAAGGAAGTAGCGCTCACCGCGCGGTCCGGGGACGGGGGCAGGGCCCCAAACGTCCAAGTGCAGGGTCTGAAGGGGGGCAGTAGCAGGACGCAGCGAGGAGGAGTGAGGAGCACGGCGAAGCCGACCCTCGACGCAAGGCGTGCACGGTGGCGCAGTCGAGGGAGGAAGGGCAGGGAGCGACGCGGGGAGACCTAAGACAAGACCGTGCTGGGACATGTGACGCAGACGCGGGAGAGCAGGGTGACCTAAGCGGTGGTGCCAGAGAAGGGAGGGGTGAGTGAGGGACCGACACGAGCAAGCTGCAGCGACCTGGGAGGACGCACCAACCGGGGGGGAAGCGGTGTCTAGGGTAAACAGACCGGACACCGGGTCCCGGGGGAACGTCGCAAGGGGGGAACCTGAGACAGCCTCAGAACAGACAGCGAACCGCTCGTGCCCGGGGAACGTGGTGGTGACGCCGAGGTCCTGGAGACAGCCGACACCAACCAGGTTCCTGGAGAACGAGGGAACGTGGAGGCCAGTAAGGGAGCTCGAGGGAACTGCCGGACAGGGAAGGGACGTAGAACTGCGCGCGACGACCGGACCCGCAGAGGGGTCAGCGAGAGAGACAACAGCAGGTGCAGCAAGCGGCGTGAGCGTGGAACGGTCGCGGAAGAAGCAGGCAGAAGCACGAGAGTCGAGAGTGAAGGAGAGCGACGCAGTGGCAGAGGCCGGGGACGGAGCCGGTGCAGCGACTAGACTAGGCAACCTAGGCAGTCCTACGCCTGACGCAGCAGGGGAGGCTAAGCTACACAGTGGTGCAACACCTAAACTAGAGTACACAGGGTAATAAGATCCAGCAAAACTAGAAGCGTCAGAATACAAAGCATGCAAAGCAGCACCTAGCCGATCCATGTCTAACTCAAAGATCGGCACGCCCTGGCGGAGCAGGCTGTGCCAGTCGGGGAGGTCCGGGGCCGGGCCAAAGCGACGACGAAAGAGATCGTCGAGGCGGCGGAAACAGCGGGCGGTCGGGTGCGGGCGGC